TTACAAAGGTGTGTGTTGGAGTGTATGCGCGCGCAACTGGGGTAGGGCTCCCAGAGAACTAGGGCGCGGATGATGAACATCGAAAGAAGGCTGGGATTTCCAGCATAGGTGTTGCAACCTAAAAACGAGGTGGCCCCGGAACTCCACCCAGCAGTTCATTTTTTTTAATTACTTTTGGTTCTCAAGTATTTTCTTCCCCCATCCTGGTAAGGCCTTAAGTTTTGTCTATGAGCAGGTTTCCTTCCGGGCCAGTATTAATTCTGCCCCGATTCCAATTCCTTGCAAGCTTCTAGGCCCATTTATACCACTCTCCCTGTCTCGCCATCCGCATTCCGTCAAAGGAGACTGGGGGAAACAAGTAAGATGCCTTCTGCTTGCACGGAATGATGATGGTGTTTGCTGGTTCGGTTTGTTCTGCAGAAAAAAACCAGCAAAAGTTTCTAGATAACGAGTTTGGAAAATGTCGCTGCTTATGGGCGAGGGTTCTATTATGGGCTGACTCTTAGTATCTAAGCTTAGGATAGAATATTAGCTTCCTTTACGGGCAGCACTCACTAAAACAGGGAAGGAGAGGCTGCAGCGCAGGGTTTGAATGGCATGGTAGGAATGTGCTACCTTGTAGCCTCTGGAAGTAGTTTTATCTTGTGACAAGTATGGAACAGAGCTTTTGTACTTTGCCTTTGGTCTAAATGTGTAGCTTGTGCTCATCAGGTATTGATTTGCAGGCCTAAGCCTACTAGCAAATCTATTAAGTGGCCAAATCTAAACTCTGGATACCACTGGGATGTGAAAGCAGGAAATGAAGAAATCTGTTGGGGGGGGGGAATGGATTTATAGTGTTGGAACAGAGCTTTACAGATACACAAGTGCATTTTGGGTTCTAAAATAAATCAAGGCCCAACTCTGAATAGGAGTCAGGATTCACTGGAAAAGACAATAATGCCAGGAAAAGTTGATGGTAATAGAAAAAGATGAAAATCTAATTAAATGGAGTCACTTTGCAAAACCTGATGCTATGTGCTGCAAAACTGCATCTTGATTCACGTTTTCTTTGGGAGGGTATCAAGATATGTGAGCTATTTAAGGAGTAGTTTTACCATGGTCACAGACATCCCAGTGACTTCTTGTGGCTGAGTGGGGATTTGAACCCAGATCTCTTGAGTTCTAGTCTGCCACTCTAGGCACTGCACTGCACTGCAGGAGCTGAGCAGGACTGTTGATGGTAGAACCTTCTGAAAGTAATTAGGCCATACAGTGCCGTAAGTTGGAAGTAACTTGACAACACGTAACAGCACATGCCACCAGACATCACCTATATTCTGCTTTCCCCTTGAGGCAGAGCCTCCTTGTTCCAATACAAGCAAGTCTGAATGAATGTCACATAAAGAATTGCATCTTATTTCTCAGCCTCATTTTCTCTTGTTCCTGTTTCATGTGACATACGTTGCTTTGTGACCTCCTTGAAGCAGGCACCTATCTTGTTGTATTTTGCAAACTGTTAGTGGCATTTTGAATAATACTAGTTCCAGGTTATACCTTGGATTTCTCTAAGCTGGACTCCCAAGTCCTATATAAATAGGAGCTAATAAATATCAGTATTTATTTTGTGAAAAAGTCTTAGCAGTCTCACATGAGTCTTACATTTGGGTGTGTGGGGGACAATACTCTTAGTTAGATTTGTCTGTTACAATATGTAAACAGTTTGTACTTTGAAAGATGAGCATATTAATGTGTTAAGTTTGGTAGCAAGAAATATTTGGCAAAATTTGACAGAAAACACCAGATTTTATATAAATTCTTGGTAAGATGTAAAATATATTGCAATGTGTTGTGCTAGGTTGAACATACTTCCTTTTCCTTTGTTCAGCTTGCCTTGGAAACTAGCAGAGATGACAGAATACAAACTGGTGGTGGTGGGCGCTGGTGGTGTTGGGAAGAGTGCACTTACCATACAGTTGATCCAGAATCACTTTGTGGACGAGTATGACCCCACAATTGAGGTATGCAGTCTTAACAATGGTGATGGGCTCATATGTTCACCAGCACTGAAGACTGAAGCATCTTCTCTGTTCCCATTAGCTTTATCTTACCTGCTATATTCAGGGCTTTAGATTGTATAGCTTTCTCAGATCTCTTCCTTGGGCTTCTAAAATATTGACGTTCTGTGCTTTTTGCCCATTGCTCCACAATGTGCTTTTTTGAGAGCTGCTGTTCATTGTTACAACACTACCATCTTCTCAGTATCTCTGAGTAGTTTCTGCTTCCCTCTAGCCATTCTCCACAGTGTGCTCTTTTTTGAGCTGCTGTTCATTGTTACAGCACTACCATCTTCACAGTATATCTGAGTAGTTTCTGCTTCCCTCTAGCCATCGACAAAGCTCTCGTCTTCAGTCATGTTACTGAAACTTCCTGTTGTAATTTTCCTCCCCATGTAATTTTTGAGGTCACTGTTTCCATTTCCTTTACTTTCTCTCTGTCTCTTTTCTCTCTCAATCTCTCTTAACGGTTCACCTGTTGTTGCTTCTGCACCTAGGATTCATATCGGAAGCAGGTCGTAATCGATGGAGAGACCTGTCTCTTAGATATTTTGGATACAGCTGGGCAAGAAGAATACAGTGCTATGCGTGATCAATATATGAGAACAGGAGAAGGCTTTCTGTGTGTCTTTGCAATCAACAACACAAAGTCTTTTGAAGATGTTCACCACTACAGGTTAGATGACAGCTAGGTATCTGTAGAATATCAGTTTAGCATCTGTTAATATCACTGTTCATTGGAGAGATAGTCTTAGGTTAGAAGAATTGCTACGATATTGTTGGTAGAGAGAGTTCTGTTCTATGCAAAAACTGAGATAAAGAAACATTTGTTTCACAGTCTAGTAGTGTTCTAAAAGCTCACAAGAATTAAATATACAATCCAGCTGTAAACCAATTCCATTTCGAGTGGTACAATTATGCAGTAACATAGCAGTTCTTGGACTGCAACGCCCAGGAGCACAGCTAGTGGTGAAGGCTTTGGGGAGTTGCAGTCTGCAACCTTACCCAAGGTTGGAAACCACTGCAATAACATTGAAACCTGTGAGCTAATGTGGATATGCATCCTTTATTTTATTTATTCCATTTGTAGAATGGTATTTCCTTTATTTTAGAACTCAGCTAGATTGTTCTTCAAACATTTTAGTTTATTTCTGACACTTAACAGGGGAGCAGGCAAGCCAAAGGCAAATTTGGGACATTGAAAGGGAGAAGTAACTGGAGGGACAGGGGCTCTTCCATTACTTTAGTCCTTATCGTCTTCCCCTTAAAATTACCCAGCCCAACTGAATTTCTCCACTATTTTTATAGCAGAAAGTGGTTGGTGTCCTGAGATTTACAGCAGCAACAGAAGGACCAGAAGGAGGTGGTTAACCAGTTCCTTCATCCAAAATTACAGATTTCTTGAGGTTTGGGGGTTAAAATGCAAAAAAAAGGGGGGGGACAAGGGCAATTCATATATCTGTATGTCCCACCTAAGTTGGACATCAGTGGGAAGAAAATAGCCAGGGAAAGCTGGACAGCTGTTTCATATTCTATTAACAGCAGTGAACTGCAAATATCTTTTATTTGCACCTTGTTCTCCTTTTGTGTAATTCCAGGGAACAGATCAATCGTGTGAAGGACTCTGATGATGTTCCTATGGTGCTTGTTGGCAATAAGTGTGATTTACCCTCTCGGACGGTGGATACTAAACAGGCTCAGGAACTTGCCAGAAGCTATGGAATCCCCTTTGTAGAGACCTCTGCCAAAACTAGACAGGTGTGTAACTGTACAAGTGGACAGGCGAATGTCCCCCAATTTGCTGGGATTCTAGTGTCAGACACTGGACTAAATTCAGGGTTTTGCTGATACAACCATTCTTCAAGCCCTGCCCAATTTCAAGCATAATACCTGAATAGGGCATATATCTCACTGTTCTGCCAGTAGAGCATCATCCCTGCGTCCTACCCAGTGCCTTTAATGGTGTTAGGAGCAAACTGAATCATATATATTTTACCAGATATATATATATCTTACCAGATATATATATATATATCTTACCAGATATTTTCTGCCCCCAAAAGTAGGTGTTGGTGAATGGCTTATTAGCTATGATCCGGTTGTATCAATGGAAAGGGTCTGCAGTGGGAAATATTCTTGTAGGCAAGCATGCCATGATTCTCATCCCCACAAACAAGGATAGCAATGCTGTGGTTTCCCCCACCCCATAATGGCTCAGTACCCAAAAGTTTGTTCCTTAATTTGTAACATTCTGGCTGGTCCTAATAATGGGATTGCTCCACTATAGATGTTGGAATCTGGTATATAAAAAACATCACCTGTATTTAGTATTTAAATAGGAGAACTAGCAACGGCTTCTGTTGATGCTTTTTTTTCCTTCATTTTTATATGTTCTCCTTATTCATCTTAAAGGGAGTGGAAGATGCTTTCTATACCCTGGTGCGAGAAATCAGGAAACACAAGGAAAAGATCAGCAATGGGCGCAAGAAGAAATCTTCCAAAAGGAAGTGTATTATTCTCTGAAGGAGAGACGCTGCTGCACTGTTGGGAGTGTGAAAAACCCTTTGAGTTTGGGTATTACCCAAGCTGCTGAACAAATTCTAATGGCCATGCCCCTCAACCTTTTTGGCTGGAAGGTGAAGGTGGTGGAGTACTCAAAATGTCATTTATTTTCCTATTTTTAAAACTGGGACATTACATCTGATACAATGATGCTTTGTAACGATTACTTGATCCTATTGCATCTTACCCCTTAAAAAAAAACATCATGTTTCCTATCCTTAGAATTGTAGAGGTCACTTCTAAAGAGTGAGTCAACATAGGTTGATCCTGCAGGTGAGATGGAAGTCATAGCACGAAGGCAATGTCTGTCAGAACCTTAGGAGCCGTTCTCATTTTTGTAGCATTTTCCCTTTGGTTCTCTGCGGGACTGAACAGCAAACCACACAGACTTGGTGCTGTCTTTTGTGCTAGCAGGCACAGAGAAGATGATCTCTTTGAAGGTGGCAATGAGAGATGCCGCAAGAGAAAACAATGGAAAGCCAATTCGTCTCTGTAGCTGACTTTTCTCCTGCTGTATTAAAATAGATGGTGCTCGGTTGTTCTTCTGGGTTGCCGAATTTCTATATTTAGTCAGTTCTTCCCACCCCCGTTTTTCATAACTTATGAGCAAAGGCTCACTGCTTTCAAATGATAGGGGAAGTGGTCCTTCTGCTCACCATGTTTTATCATACATGTATGAAGATGGGACAGTATTGAAACCTGAGGGAGAGGTAGATTGGGTTAACTAATAGAAAGCAGTATCTGATGGATGCTAAAAATGTTACTGTTATCTGAACATTGTTTAATCTTGACACCAAGTAAAGCATCCTAGTATAATCGGTCACTGCTGAAGAAACTATTAAATGGTTGCTCTTTGGGGAAGTATAGCTCACTGGAAGGACAGATCCTGAAGCTGAGGCTCCCGTACTTTGGCCATCTCATGAGAAGACTCCCTGGAAAATACCCTGATGTTGGGAAAGCGTGAGGACAAGAGAAGGAGACGACAGAGGACGAGATGGTTGGACAGTGTCATCGAAGCTACCAGAATGAATCTGACCCAACTCCGGGAGGCAGTGGAAGACAGGAGGGCCTGGTGTGCTCTGGTCCATGGGGTCACAAAGAGTCAGACATGACTTAACGACTAAACAACAAAAGTAATGTTAAGTAGTTTAGCAACAGAAAGCTGAAATGTGGCTTTTCCTCTTTGGTTTCCCCTGATGTTGCCTGGTCCTTGAGGGAGCAGAATTATCAGGAAAAGAACAGAGGAAGTATGAACTGTAATAACTCTAGTATGCTTAACAGCATCATCTGTCCTATTGTGTATTTGACCATTCTCTCCTCTCCCTCTCCTAAAAAACCCTTAGAATTCTTTCTTACCTGATATTTTTCCATAGTCCTGAGGAACTGTACAATAAATGCCACCACTTGGAATAAACCTGTGAATAAGCTACCTGATTTATCAGATGCGGCCTCTTTTTCTAAATGGGAATGTGTATCCATTTCGGAAAACTAGAGGAATGCTTTCTTTCAAATGTGCAACCGCTAGTAGTCTTGGCTACTGTTCTTCCTGGAACAGGCTGTTTGGAAATAGGGAATCTGTAAATGTTTTAGAGGAAATGACTTTTTAGAACGGTCCTTGGATCAGCAAACACTTCATACCGTGGCCTGTTTCAGCCTGGATGTTTTTCATATCAGATTTGGGTTTCTTCAGCTGAATTTTCAGCTGCTGTTGCTCCCACACAGTATTGTTTACTTCAGTACCCATACAATAACCTAAAATACTTTATTCCTGTTATAGCTAAATCGGTTGCATTGCCACATAATCCGCTTTGCTCCCACACTGCCAGCTTTCTTGAGCAAGCTGTCTTGCCTTAAATTGTTAATACACAAGAACTGGGCATCTTTCTAATTTTCCCAAGAATCACCATAGCCATGCATGTTTGAGTTGGACACCTCCTGCTCCTTGAATTATTTGCATATCTCATTCTCTGCTTTTCTTCTAGTCATTTGATCTTTTTGATTCAACATGGGTCTCACTAGAGGTGGCTGACAAGGGAAAAGCAGACTGTTCCTTCTGTAAAAAAGGTGTTTTCTTTGGTGGAGGGTTTCAAGTGTATTTTTATGTAAATAGGTGGACATTTCTTGCTTAACTTTGGCAAATGGATTCTACTGCTTTTGAAGAAACATATCTAGTACTGGAGTCACTTCCTTTCTAATATTTGATTGTTCTGAAATCAGTAGTAGAAAAATCCAGAAATACACTGGAAGGTTAATTTCAGTCAGCCAAAGATACCAAATACAGAAATTTGATGATCTAGATCAGCTACTGTCAATCTTTTTTGCCGCAGTCTTAACTCCGTATGAAGGAAATACAGGCAAAATCAGGATTGTGCAAGTCCCATAGTGAACTTTATAATATGGTGTGTGAAGAATTATTTCCAGTTTGTGGCCCCCTTCAAATGTGCCGTGGCCTCCGGGGGGGCACCATTCTCTATGGCCCACCTTGAGAATGGTTGATCTAGATTTGTTCTGGCTTGGTTTGGTGAAAGGAACAGATAACTCAGCATTATTTTTGGGGGGTGAACATGGGCACACAGGTTCCTGTAGTTGCAGTCCTAATATTATGAGAAGGATCAGATAGTAGACGAGTCTCCTTTTTGAATGTATATAAAAGAAGTTTGAAGCATTGGCATCACAAATCTCCAGGAGTAAAACATTTTTGTAGAAGAGGCGATGTGACTCAGGAAGTCTCTAAATGCTTTTATGTGTTAACCCTTTGTCCTGTTGCAGATTTTTTTAAAATTCAACCAATTTAAGAAAAGTAAATAACCAGTCTTCTTATAAACACAACTAAAACAATATCCTGAGTGTGAGACTGTACTTTAGCTCTGCAAACACAGGATTCTGCTAATGTGACTGGAGAAGTTTTGTAGAAAGGGAGGGCAGTGCAGCCTTTTACTGAACTAACTATGACCACTGCTGACTACAGAAAAAAAATTTTGAGAAAAAGCTGTTGAAGGAGAAGATGGAGGAAGAATGAGACATCACCTCATCTTTAACAATACCTGGTAAATAACAATTTGGGAAACTTACATTTAATGTGTAATTATTAGTTCCAAGTCTAATAGTGACTGTAAATTCCTGTCAGGGTCAGAATAAAGGAGGTCTGGGTACTTGGCTGATTCTTGAGGGAACAAAGAACCAGAAAAAGGATAACAGTGCATAGTGGAGAATGGCTGGTGGCTTTTGGGGGGGGGAGTTAAAAGGAATCAGAACAGTTATAATGAATATATGATGAGCTTTAAATGAGCATGTTCATTGTTGTTGACAGAACCTAGTCAGATGTATACCTAGAAAAACAATTATTAGGTAACACTAGGAGCCACCTGTATGGATATAGCCAAGGGTCCATGTGTAGACAGACTTCTATAAACAATGCATAGTTATGAATCTTATTTCTGTAACTAGGAAAGTACACATACCCTTTCTCAGAAAGGTTTCAGTGACTCTACATCACTGATTCTTAACCTTGGGTTACTCAGGAGTTTTGGACTGCAACTCCCAGAAGCCTTCACCACCAGCTGTCCTGACTGGGGTTTCTGGGAGTTGCAGTTCAAAAGCATCCGAGTAACAAAGGTTAAGAACCACTGCTCTACATAATACAGGACTTCTAAAACTGCAGTCTAAAAGGTATGAGTAGCATCCCATTAGCTACTGGTGATATGATAGCAGAAAATGTCTTTATTTTTGTGCCAACTTCAACATTTCAAAGATGTACTGTACTCTTCTTTAAGGGGGTCATATAAAACAAAATATTTTTAAAGTGTTGTTCCCACCTACAGACTGATCTTGGAAGTAATTCACTCAGTTTGTTTTCACAGATTTTTAATTTGCCTCCTAGATCTTCTCAGTCAACTTATTTTCCTTTACAAAAACTGAGAAGAGGACAGGGTTAGATAGGTGGTGGTCGTAGATACTGCAAATGCAGCTGAGGCCAAGGATTTCCGTTGGGTTCAATCCAGACAGGATGTTGGTTGAAAGGTAGAACCAAGTAGCCCATTATTAGCAGTGAAATACATGCAAGTAGGAGCCCAGGAAACACCCATTTCTGCATGATGTGCAGTAGCAAGAAGCCTAAGGGGACGTCCAGGAACCTGTGTGGAGAGAAGACATTGTTCTTTATTATTTTGGGGAAAGATTTCATGCCACTAATTAAATAAAGCCACAGCAATTACAGCTTTTGGATAGGCGGTTGAAGGGAGAAAAAAACCTAGGAAAGATGGAAAAAATTAAGAGTCTCTAGAGCCAGTGGTAGTACCTGTAGATTTCAGATAAGGCAGCAAATGAGATATTTCGGGTATCATGGGTTTTCACAAGATAGAGTTTGTGGTTACTCTTAGGTATAATGAGGCAACAAGGTATGACAATAAGAATTGCCTCATGATTTGTAGCATGGCACAGTTCAGATTCAATGTACTTATCATCTGCTTCAGGAAAAGAAAGCATGTGAGAATGTGTAAGAGTAGAGAGAATCAGACTCCACTTGTATCCCTTTTTATGGGAAAGATGATTGCTTCTATACATAATACAGCCTTCAAAATGTATGTTCCTTGCTTTTTCTGTACTTTAGTGTCAAAGCTTGAAAACAAAAGTTACAATCCTGTTTCACTGGAATATTTTAGAGAAGGTTCTACCTTTTGAAGTCCAAAAAGCAATGCTTTACTGTACTAGAAAATTAGCAAATCTCACATAAATGGGGACAGAAACAGCTAGTTACCCCTCACTCTTGATTATCTTTCCCATTAAGTTATGGTTCTTCAACATTAAAGACAAAAACACTCATTTGCTGGGTATATGCATTATTACTGGGTCCAATTTTACTCAGCTGAAGGGAAAGGAGCTGAGACCATTTTGTGGCATCTATGTCAATGCTGCTCAATAGGGAATTACAGAGCTGACAGGACATCTTTTGTCCAGAAAGTCTGGTTACTAACCAGAAAGACAACTAATTTGTTTCCCCGTACTAAAATTAAATGAAAGTAGTACTTGCCTAGAAGCCACACTATCTGCCTTGGAGATGCTTAGTTCTAATTCCAAACATTTGAAGCTAGATATGGTTGCTGAGTAGTGAAGGAATGGCTCAGAAATTATTTTTAGAGTTCATGTGATCTAGGTCTTTGGCATATACTGTTGTCTCCTAGGCCTATTTCTGTCTAGACAGTGGCTGCAAGTAACTTGCTGAACAAAAGGTAACAATACAGTGACATAAGAAGCGAGGGAAACTACATTAATTTCACATTATAGAAAGCTACAACCTGATAAACAGAAAATATATGTGTCTCATGCTATACAAAGAGTAACAACAATGCATGCCTAAATGTTCCTGTCAAAACTGTGTACGTAGCAAGTACAATGGTTCCTCACCTTCGAAGCAGGATTTCAAAAAAGCTGTCATTCAGTGTCTTCCCAGTAGCTGGAGTTAGCTCACCATGAACCGGGACTAAAGCTTGTTCCAGCAAGGCAACTTCAGAGCTCCTGAAACAAAAGAGCCAAATACATCACAGCCAGTCAAGTGCTGAAAAATGTCATTTGGGACAATGAATATATTGCTACATGACATGTGTAGGACCGAACTTTGGCACTATAAGCCACAGAGTAAATCATCTTATCCAGGACATACTGTTCTGTTTCCCTTCTGTTACTATGCATCCGGCATTGGATTGCAGGGAAGAACTGCTCACCGAGATTTGGAGTGATAAACCGTATTTTCCCATACAGTGAGGACTAATCCAGGAAAAAAAAACTTGTGAGTATATTCCTACTACAGGCAGTGCTCAAAGATTTGTAGAAAAACCATGGTTAACGCGCATATACTTTAATAGTTGTATCTGGTTTCACATTACTTGCCAAATAGATCTATTTGAAATGGGTACTTCAAGTTGTTTGTCTGTGAACATGTACTCATTCCACCAACTGAAGGCACTGCTAAGATACCAAGAGCCAGTCCATCCTCGGTTTTGAGAGTGCTTAGATGCTTTGGGGGCAGATGCAAGTTCTCCCCATGGTTTATCTGCAACTGGCTGCAGTGTTGGGGACCTCAACAGGGGTAGAACACTGATGGCAAGCCATAAAAACCGATGGCATCAAAACCAATGGGACTCCACTGTCTTCCTTGCTAGTGACTTAGTTGAGCAGGTAGATGTGTACTGCTGCTTCGTGGTTGATAACCAGAGATCTAGTGACTGACCAGGATGGAGAACACTCAGTATGGTGGGCTACCTGGAGAGGTCCTTCTAGTTCCTGGGACCTCGTCATTGAAACCATGCTGGAGGGGTCAGTACAGGAGGAACAAAGGTGATGTCTCCTTCTCAGAGACAACTTTGATGCTGAGTGTGTCAGCATGGTGAGATCTGTTCAATTTAGGTGACTTTGGCAACCAAATTCTGAGCCTTGGTTCTGGCGATTTGGAAACTGAAGCTCTGCACGGATGTCCTGAAAATAAGTGCTAGTATGATTTTTCAGGATGCTCCTAATATCAGCCCTACCCAAAAATAAGCCCCAGTTAAGTGAAGCCCCCCCCTCTTCCATTGTGCAGCAACCAGAAGAAGATGACAGGACTGTATTTGAATAAATGTAGATTGTTGTACATGAAAAAAAAATAAAACATCCCCTGAAAATAAGCCTGTGAAGGTGGCCCAGAAGAGAGTGTGCCGTCTCAAGAGGAAGAAGGAAAGGGGGGGGGTAGAGAAAAACCTGAGAATGAAACAGAACAGGCGGACCAAAGGGAGAACGTAGCTTCAGAAGAGGGGAAAACGGAACGCGGCAGGAAATTTAAAGTGAGTCTGGTAGAAGAGCGCGGGAGCAAGAAAGGGGAGGAGAAGGAGCTGTCAGTCTGGGAGGAGGGCGTAAGTAATCAAGGAGAACGGCGGTTTGAGGTAGAATTGGAGTTGTGGAAACGGAAGAGAGAACTAGAGAGGTTAAGGGAATATGAAAGGCCGAAGACACAGGAGTTGTTGAGAGACTTCCCCAACCTAAAGTTAGACGGGCTGTTACCAGATCCTATTTCGAAATAAGGAAGAGAGGTGAAATATGAAACGCTAGAATGGTCTGTTATCGTTTTTCCCTAGAATTATGGGGAGAGGTCGGCAGGTAATTAGATCGGACTCTCGATATAATACTCCTCCTCCCGAAGGAGACTAGGCTCGACACCCAAGCTGCGGCACCATATGTGCAGTGTGGAGCGCGCCTCTTCGGAAGCCAACCGATGCGGAGAAGTTTGGCCCAGCATCCCTGTGAGTTCAATGGATGATGTTCGGGACTTTGTGTTAGAGTTATGGCACATTGCCTGAGTTAAGCCTTTTCGACCCTATCATGAATAATGTTGATGTGCCTGTAACTAATAAAGAAGTTATAAAAGTTAAGACGACGTCTCTTGTGATTTTTCCCGCGCAAAATGAGGACTTGTCAAAATTTGAAGATGAACCCATTCACAAAGCCCTAATGTGTTTTTTTGGAGCAAAAATTAATATAAGACCTTGCCTTATTTTCGAGGAAACATGGTAGAAGAAATTAGGAAGATACATTGCCTCCTCCATTAGCAGGTGACAACATTTGGCATCTCTTCCCATGAGGGAACCTTTTCTCTTTACAGGTCAAACGTGAGGCAGAAGTGGATCACTCCCGAAAGGCAAGCAACTCCTCTGTTTGAGCGGTCCTTGGACTCTCGCAAGGTGTTTGCTGGGTGACATCGCTCCATTCTGCCAAATGGCTAAGTGCAGAAGAGGGTGCCAATCGCAGGACATCTCTCCTTCAGATGCTGAGCCCAGGCAGACTATGTCATGACACTCTTTCTCACGCTCCTCCAAGACCTTGAGGCAAGTGGTGGCAAGATGACAGCTACATGTTGGCAGATCTTTAGAAGCAGGTGTCCGACTTTTTGCTTTCTTTGTTACAATTTTTGGTTGGAAATCTGAATCAGTATTCCTCTCTTTTTAAGTTGAGGGTGGTGGTTTTGACACTTGAGATTGAGGGCAATCCTTGGTATCGGGGCTGATGTTTGCTGTGCACATGGTACTTGAGTAGCTAGGTCTTCAAAGGTTTAAGCTGAGGTATCAGTTTGGAGTGGCTCCATGAGAAGTTGTTTTGAGGGCATTTTACAAACAGTAACCACTGGAGCCAAGGTGGCCTCCTTGGTGATGATGTGAACTCCCTGTAAGGACTTTTCTCAAAGGCAGAATTTCAAGCTGGACTAATGGTCTCTGGCTACTTTGGTGAATTTTCAACAGAACTCACAGGTTTGAATTTTATGCCCCTCACTGAGGCACTAAAGAGTGTCCTCGGTGAGGAGGATCTTATTGCTGCAGCTGACACACCTGCTGAATGGGCCCACTAGAGCCATAAAAAGGTGACAATGGCCATTAATTAATGAACAACAACTATAACAATCTCTATCTGTGTGTATTCTTGAAGGCTTTCACAGCCAGGATCTGATGGTTTTTTCAGGCTGTTTGGCCATGTTCTGAAGGTTTTTCTTCCTAATGTTTCGCCAGTCTCTGTGGCCGGCACCTTCAGAGGACAGGAGTCAGAACTCTTTCTGTATTCTGGTGTAATGTGTGGGATAGTTGAGTATTTGTAGCTGTGGGATCAGCTTTTTTGTTCTTTTCAGGAGATTGGGTGATTATGGTGATCAAGGTGTTTTTTGTTATGGCTGTATTGTGATGGGGGGGAAGATGGTCTCTCACTGTAATTGATGGGTGTCATTAGCAGTGATCACCGGTCCTTGTGTGCAGTGCTTGAAATCCACAAACACCAGCAGAGCTTCAACAAAAAAAGCAGAAAGTCTAAAACTCAACAAAGCCTGGCTTCCAGCACTGAAAAATACAGCCTGCAAAAGATCAATGAAGTCTACCCAGCCACAAGGACCGGTGATCACTTCACACAAAAAAAATCAAACAACGCCCATTAATCAAAGTGATAGACCATCTCCCCCCTTATCACAACAATACACCCATAACAAAAAAACACCCTGGTCACCTTAATCACTTGATCTCCTGAAAAAGACAAAAAGCTGATCCCACAACTACAAATACTCAACTATCCCACACACTACACCAGAACACAGACAGGGTTCAAACTCCTATCCTCTGAAGGTGCCAGCCACAGAGACAGGCGAAATGTTACTAAGAAAAACCTTTGGAACACAGCCAAACAGCTCAAAAAACCTACAACTCTCTCTCTCTCTCTCTCTCTCTTTCTCTCTCTTCCACACAGTTTTTCCATTAATGAAGAGATCAAAGGAGGAGAAGGTAGTCAAGCTAAATAATAACTACATACAACTTTTAAATAAGAATAGAAAGGCTGTAAGAAGCTCTTAAGGTGTTCTCTCAGCCTCTGCAAAAAGGGAACCGAGGACTATGGTGTGATTCACAGAGAGCATGAAGAATTGTTTGTAAATAGTTAAATTTTTCCCATTTCTCACAAAAACCAGGATCCATTTAGACCAAAAAATCAATTCATCTTGGAACAAAATTCCTACTAAAACAGCACAGAGACAAAACCTGTAATGGGTCACATATTTCACAATAGTTTTCAACCACTACTGAATTCCACACATCATTAAAAAAAAAAAGAACTTTTAATGTGTTCGTCACTATATATATAAAATAATGTACAGTATTTGCATCCCTTGCACATCCAGGGCTGTTTTGAGTATCACAATCTTTTGCACACTATCTTACAGTGAAGAGGCACCCATGGGGAACTACACAACGCTTTACAGCTACATGGGCACTAATCGAAATTCAACTGCCTAATCCCAAGAGCAGAACAACTCAATGCTGAAGGTTGCTCTCCAGACACGTACCTATTTCATTTCATATCCTGCTTCCAAAAAAAAGATTCTAAAGGCAGCTAACACTAGTAACCCATTTATATGAAATTTTGATTAAAACTTAAGTTAAATACTACAATGGGAGATATAACCAACCCTAACCAATTAAACACTCTCCTATCATAGATCAGCTGAACATTTTAATTATCTCTCCGAATAAAAATGCTTTGCCTCCACTTATAAGCACTACTGTACATTTTAAAAAAAATCCCAGCTTTATGAAGTTTGGTTTCTCTTGTTCTGCATTTTACAGAAATGCATTTATAAGACCCACGAAATGTAAACTGGGTGACAGAAGTGCATGTATCTTCTCTTAGAACAAAGATTATATTATTTGCCTGAAATTTTGGAGTTCTTCCACACCATTCAGAAAAGGGAAATCTGCATGTGGTGGGTTTTTTTAAAATAAAAAAACCTAGGAGGAGACTCAAGCATATGGTGAAATTATTGTCAGGTGGTGACTGTTACGGAAAGTAACCACCATTTGCAGTAAATAACCCTGTATGGTTAGTAATTGTGATTGCTACATAAATGGCACTAGGTATAGATAAGGATGATTCTTCTTCTTTGTTAGTCTATTTTTCCACTTCCTGTAAAACAAATTACCCTTCCAAAAGGTACAGAACTCTTTACCTACACTTATGCAAATGGAAAAACAACCCTTTTACCTAGAAAAGCAAGTAATTAGCAAATATAATAGTAGAGACAAGGTATTATCTCACTGTAAAAAAAAGTTTTTCCATTAGTCTACAAAGAGTATGGAGGGGGAGGTTAAAAAAGTTGGTAGAACTAAATTAAATGTAAGGTCAGGATGTTCTTTGGTTTTCTTCTCACACATCTACTGTACCTGCTTTCCCTTGGGTACAATTGTTCATATTCTTTCTACATCAAAGAACCCAAACTAGAAACTAAACCAGAAGTATCTAATGCAGATTTGTGTACTTGTGCATATATTTATTCACTGTACATGTTTATTTAGAATTTGGAATCTGCCAGAATTTGGTCCGCTCATCTGTGAAGAATCATGTGATGTAAAAAAATACAATAAAAATTATAAGGAAATTGCAGAGTATCCTTGTGTACTCAAATATTTTACTAGCTGGATCACAGCAATTTCAGACAGATTTCCAAAAATATGGGTAGAACCTTTATATTTCAAATTAAAAAAGAGTGTCAGACTCACAGCAAGATGAGTTACAAAGTATACTATCTGGCATTAAACAGGGAAGTCAGAAGAAGCAAGAAAATTTTGTACAGTAGCTAGGATTTGAAATAACTTTTAAAAAAATTAGAATGGGAAGATAACAATTGCCTAAAAGCTGTCTTTCTTGTTCTATCTTGAATTAAAACAATTATATACCACCAAGCATTGATGCCAGACTAATCTTGACTCAGCAATAGAAAGCCACTTGGTCTCTTGATAACCAGGATCAGACACAGAGCTTGGAAAAATTCTTCTCTGGATTACAACTCCCAAAATTCCAAATCCAGGATGGCCACAAAGTTTCCCTTAATAAAAACTAAATGTCAGTTACAAGAAAACTGAAATGAGCATCTATTTCCTAAGTTTTAGAAATTCTCAGTATTATTGTTCTGCCCTACTCTGCCTTCTCCTATACAGACACAATCCTTATGAATCCTCCCAAACGAAAGCTGCACTCTTCCTCATTTTGCTATGTTAAGGGACTAAGCAGAAGACTTTATTCATACATGCTCCCCAACATGGGTATAATGTACTGTACAGAGTTGCCAATGTCATTTTTAATACTGAGGGTCCAAGTGTCCATAAACCTAGCAATCAACAGAACATTGACATCATACATTCTGTGGCCTCCTCTTTTGGCAGCACCTCCTGTTTTTAGCATTTGCCTCTTAGTGGGAAATGATTCCTTTCCCACTCAGTCCCACCATGACTGGAATAGTCATCGTATGAAGCAGTACCACTGAGTTCAGATCACCATACATTCCTAGCAGGTTCCATGATCTGCAGGCTTGCCATGGCCCTCATCCACCTGTCTATTTCAAGAAGTTCCCAAAAGGAAGGAAATTCAGCGTCAATATAAGGAAGGCACTGGCTCAAAATGCAGAGTGGACCCTGAGGAGGGATGGAGTTCCAAGGCTGCCAGAGAGGGTGGCACGATGCGAAAGAGGTAGCTAGGGAAAAACAGTGCTAAAATCAGAAAGAGAGACAGAGAATGAAAGGACATAAAGCTGCCACCCCCTTTTTACAGGATAAGAACAAATGTAAGGAATGTTCTTGGAACAATTTTTCTTTTCCACACGCTACAAGTGTGGGGTACATAGCATCCAATACAGATCGAAGAACTGCTCTTACTAGCTTCTGCACATGTGACTTCTGAAAGCATCTTATACTTTTAAAACACAAAGAAGCAACCTTAATTCCAGAATGCATCAGTCTATGTAAACAGTTATTAATTTTTATCTCACCTAGCAGGAGACTTTTTGTTCCTTTTCCCCTTTGCTGCTACAAAAGAGGAGAGAGCTCTTGCACTGTAGTAGTTTCAGCAGGTGAAGCTGGCTTACGAATTACTTTGGCCCAGTAATTTTATGAATTTTTAACTTCTGTGAAATCTCATTCCTAGGGGGAAACTACAACATGCTGCAAATACACAAAGTTTCAGGGCCCAGGACAAAACACTAATGCAAACAACGAAGCTCCCTATGCTAACTGAAGCTGGGAAGACTCAGATTGGTGTTAGTTAAGAGTTTGAGATCTAGTGCAATGCAGCTCAAAAGGCCACACATTGAGTTCAGTGACCATAACGGTCAGTACCTGTTGCCTCACAACTGTTTCTTCATCCGTTTCCCAATCAGTTCCAAAAACTGGCCAGCCTTGCCACTGAACCAAAAGGGTCCAGACTGTGTACGGAGCAAGGTTGGGCTGATTCATGATCTCCTGAACTTTGTCTGGTCACTGGAAAATAGACTGAACAAGACCATGCTCTAGGCACTCCAAAAAGTGACATAAATCATTATCTGATTGTACCCTTAATTTTACATGCTCTTCATATATCATCCTGTATTTACAACTCTTCCTTGTTTTTCCACTGCTTTTTCCATCTTTTTCTTAATGGGGAAAATCCATCAAAGAGGAAAAGACAGAATAACCACATGCTGCCTTCTTGTTCCTAGTGTGAAAAGTTATCCACCTGTACTGTAAACACTCCTAGAAATTATGCTCCGGGGTTTTAAAAAGCGACATTTTCCATGTCATTGAATGCAAACTCATTTATGAATATTTACCATCATCTTCCACCTCATTGCCTACCACAGTTGCTTTCTAACATATTTTTTAAAAAACAAAATCTTAGTTATTATTACATGTTTCAGCATGCATATATCTTGCTATAATAGTGGATTGAAATTCTTGAATATCAGCCCTTGAGTTGATTTTTTTTTATTTTAAAAAAATCTGATAATTCAAAGTGTTTCTAAATCATGATAACTTCTACTTTGACATATCCACTCATTCATTCATGCATGCCAATCTTACAAAAGCAATCAACACAACATATTAGACTCATCCCCAGACATGTATTCACTATGAATACCTGCAGAGAGAGATGTGAACAGCCATCCATAATTAGTGAACCAACCAATATGCAGAGTTGTAACAATATTATGAGACACCAACACAGAAGTGATTCAGAGACAGAATTGTATATAGAGGTGTGGCATACACCGTACTTATTTTACCTACAAAGCAATAAACATAAAATGACTTTTAAAAAAATGATTAATTCTACATCTGAGGATGATAATTTTAACATGAGACTCGTGTGTTATTCTAACATGAACCAACTCTTGTCTGTGGAATACTCAGCCAACTGGCAATCTGTTTCAATGGCAATGTTTTATGATCTAAATGTTTCACACTGTTTGTCAAAACTCGAGAAAAAAAATCCTGAAGGACAACTAACTGCATTAGTCTGTTAAAGCAAACACAGAGAAAAATCTTGCAGCACCTGAAAGTCTAGCAAATTATGTATAGTTATTTTGTAGTTCTAGTCCCTGAAAGCTTATGAGACTATTTAAGGTACTATAAGACTAGTCTTTTCTATAAACTGAAGAGGGCAAAACAAAAGATATACAGCATCTGCAGGTATCTCAGCAAGGGCTCGGCTATGCATACCTTCCTCCCACCTCTGATGGAAGGTGCTGTTGCTGCTGGTTGCATTCCTGGCCCCTCAGTATTTGTTTAGCATCTGTTCTAAAAAGCAGGTGAGGTAGGCTATGTGTCCTTTGCAGTAATGCTCTGGGATACTCTGTCCCTGATCTGCCCATTTCCTAGAGAGAAAGAAAAAGGAATTGCTAGGACAATCTGCTTCATACTAGGTTTTGTATTGAAGTATATATTGAGAAGACTGAACAGGGGAACGAAATGTTAATTACATTAATGTTGTACCAGAGATCAGCAGGAGATAGTCTTTAGATAACAACTGTACTGCAAACATTTTAATATAGATTCAAAAAGAGAAACCTGCAAAATTTGTATATGTTGTTAAAAAGGATTATTTATTTATTTATTTATTTGATTTTTACCCCGCCCCTCTAGACCATGGATGGTTAGATTAAAGTTTGGGATCACTTCCCACCATGTTAAACAGAACTCAAAAGTTTGAAGTATTGCCTGGTATGAATTATGTCTACTAATTTGTTGCTATTTAGTCGTTAAGTTCTGTCCAACTCTTCGTGACCCCATGGACCAGACAATTGTAGAGACAAATGTCTACTAATAAACACTACTAAATTGTGTTTATATCCCTTCTCATTTTTTTGCACCCACCTGTTCTTCTGCCAAAGATCTGAGTTCCTCTGCAGTTACTGGGCGTGTCATCAAAGATGGCAACATCCCACACAATGGGCTAGGCAGATCAGCCCCTTCACTGAACTCCTGTCAAAGACAACAAGGACCTATCTATTTACAGCTGATTAAGTGTTATTCAGATTCTAGATATCTTTACTTACAGTAGCAGTTCTCTTGCACAACATTTACTTTTCTCCAGCATTCAAACAATACTCATGCAATTTTCTGAATTGTTTTATAATTAAAATTAAAACTGATAGTGTCCTGAGTGGCTGTTTACTAGCATGTTTACACAGCAAAAGAATGGCCACAAAGCTTCAGTTAAAAGACTTTCAAAAATATACTGTTGCAATCGCTTTGCCTGTACTGCTTTGCAATTTCAGAAAACTCTACTTGGCTTTATAAAACTGTTATTAGGTAGGGCACACTAAGCCCTATTTATAGAGAAATGAGAGTAAACAGCAAAAACCCCTTCATTTTACAGAAATGGGATATTATTCTGTGCCAATGCTGGGCTTCCTTATAACCACAGGAACCCAAGGTTCAGGCTCTGGGTTAGTTACTTGGGAGCTTGACTAAGCAGCTAGGACTGGAGTTAGTATCACGTTCCTTATCATTTAATACCAACACTGGTTTATAAAATATATTACATTTATTAAAAATAAAGCTTTAGTTACATGTGATTAAAAGAAGGCAATAGGTATAAATGAAAAGAAACTCCAACAACTTAAAAGCAAATATAAAAACATAAAAGACAACAACAGCTGCATTCAGGATGTGCTATGGGTTTTTTAAATCACTTGATAGGGCTCCAGTTTATGTACAAACCATAAACACAAATAATCATGTACAGGCAATACCTACTTGATATTCACAGATATCTGCCTCCCCTTTATGGCAGACACAATGGTGTAAAACTCCAAGAGAATATAATAATATGCTATTACTTCTTACCTTCTGTGATTCTTCTATCTCTGTGCACAGTGGCTGTGCAGGAACTTGTAAACAAGCCTTCACACTTTGTAGGGAATCTCTTGATAGCCTACATAAAAATAGCTATCACAATGTTCATAACATGGATATATACAGAGGAGGAGAAAACTCGGTAACATCTGCTTTTTTTGTTTTGTACCTAGTAGATTAAATGTAAAGAATTGCTCAAAGTCTAGCTAGTATCAGAAAATTCTCAAAATATCACAAATAATTATTTGGCCTGATTCAAAGCTAGATGTGCTTCTTTAAAAGTTTAGACTCAAAGAAGGCAGTTTCTGCATAGCAGCCCTATGTCATCCTGTGCTTTTTATTTGCTTCTTCGTCTTTTTTTTTTTTTTTTTGACTGGCTCAGAGGTGGCAGAATGCTTAGTTGCAGATTTATTTTGTTGTTTTTTAGAAACATGTATCCTCCATAAGACGACCAATATTCCACTGGAAGTTATTTAGGGGAAGAGTATCGCATCATTGGTGTAGCATCAGGACTACCATAAATACAGTATGAAAAACATGTGATGTTCATTATAGAAGTTTGTATTTGTAACTCTAGTAGAAGCTAATGGATTGCATCCGAAGGTTACAGAAACTTTTGGATGCACTCTTGGATTAGGATGAAACAATTATAGGAAAAGAGTTACATATGGAATTTTTCAAATATTGTTTTCTAGACATTTTGAAAAAGATTCAGCGTTATGTCTGTCAGAGATGATTAGGTCCAGGGGAACCCTTTTTAGAAAGAAGGCTAGATTAGACAACTCTCATGGATTCTTTGCCAGCTCTGATTTTAAAAATCTAAAAAAACCTCCTCTCTGGGTTTGCCCCTTCTCACGAAAGCGCAAGGCATAATTATCTATCCTTCCTACACACCAAAACGTAGCCCCAGTCAGAAAGAATTATTTCAGATTTCAGTGAGTCTCACACGGAACTGGGTCACAGGGCAGGATGTGCGTGCGTAAGACAGATACAGACAGGTCTTGAAAAGGACAAAACTAATTTCTCTGGACACAGCAAATTAAGCTGCATCTGTTCTACTGCTTGAGCACTCCCAAGTATAGCTACCTAGAACAGAAGGAATGTTTTCCTAAATATTTCAGATGAGGACAAGCTTATGTGTCAATTCTGATTTCTCTTGGTTGCTCTCATTTTCTCACTCTCCTCCATTTCCATACTAGTTTATAATTTTGTAAAATCTACAGGAAAAACTTATATATATTTAGATGTACATTTATCCTAAAAAACACATGCTTGTATAAGAGTTGCCATACCTCAGAGTAGACTTTTTGGCCCATGATGGTGATGATGATGAGGATGAGGATGATGATGATATGCATTTTTGCAAGCTTTACTTAATAATGATATATTCTTCTGCTAATTTTTGCAGTTTTGTGGTTGCATTTTTATTTTTAAAATGGCACAACAAACTTTAGGGAAGCACGTAACTATGTTTCAGTTTTCATACTAGTTCAGAACAATGAAAGCTAGAGAGATTTGTATCAAAATAAATACTGAACAATCTGGATAGTATATGCCTTTTTGCAAGCTTTACTTAATAATGATATATTCTTCTGCTAATTTTTGCAGTTTTGTGGTTGCATTTTTATTTTTAAAATGGCACAACAAACTTTAGGGAAGCACGTAACTATGTTTCAGTTTTCATACTAGTTCAGAACAATGAAAGCTAGAGAGATTTGTATCAAAATAAATACTGAACAATCTGGATAGTGTATCCATTAACACTTTAGGAAGAACCACATGCTATTTTAGCTATTGCTGATCATGTGGTTCCTGAAGCACTTGCTTTTAAAAGGTCTACTATAGTTAAACAAATGTAAGAGTAGGTAATATCTTTTATAGAACCACTAAAAATCAAACAAATTGCAAGCTTTTGTGGAGAGAATTCCCCTCTTACAGGCTCAACACAACCCTTTTAAGAAGAAAGGCCATCACATTTATTATACATGAACTTTACTATCAAGAATTAAATTATTTTAAAATTTATCTTCTAAACTTGGAAAACAAAAGAATAAAACTAATTCAAGAAATTTTCTTTTCTTTTAAAAACAAGGATAGGAATTATATAAGCCTGATGGTTTGTTTTTTGTGAGGCCCCTCTGCAATCCCACCTGGGAGCAGCAATACTCCTCTAAAGCAAAGTGTTGTCCCCACTGAACATCTCATTCTAGCAGAAAATCCAGAATAGTTTTTTTTTTTCAATATGGCTTCACATGAAATGGTGGATGGGGCTCCTAAAGACTCCTGGAATCAGTAAATGGGACACTGGCTTAAATTCATGGGGATGCGTTCAGGTCTGTGGAGGAGATATCCAGGAATGGATTAATTCCTTTCTCAGCCCACTCTAAACAGGAGGAGTGAACTTAGAAGAACAACAACAACCACATGCTCCTCCCAATTTTCCTACCCTAGTCTGAGAAGGGAGCAGACTGATAAAATAACAAAAGGTAGTAAAAGCCAGGGAATTAAGGCAGAGATGACGTTAGCCAGCGGTTGGGTGGATCTGGATGCTTCCTCCTTCTCCAACCATAATGGACCTTCACAGAGGTAAGCCAATGTTCTAATCTCGGTATGCAGGAAGCAGATATATCCAGGAATGGGACCTACCCAAACAAGTTCTAGGTCTATAGGGAGGGAGGTGGCTCACTCTTTAGTCAGAAATTACTTGTTAAAGGACACATCTCAAAGGCAGCAGCTGCTGAAATATGCTTGTCAATCTTATGAATGTGGAAGGGTCAATCTAAGTAACCACTCTGCAAATCTCTTCCAGAGCAAAATATACTTTGAAGGCTAGAGGAGTAGCTGCTGCTCTTGTAGAATGGGTGATGATATGACCACGCTTCAGGAGGTGAGAGACCTCATAAAGCTAGAAATATGCAAGCCTCAATCCATTTGGAGAAAACAGAAGGGACATCTTTTTACCCAGAGAGGTGGGAAGGAAGGAGAGAGAGCTACATTTCCTAAAGGATGCTTTCTTTTGAGATAAATTTTGATTTCCCTTTTAATGTCAAGCCTCTGCCACTCCTTTTCCAAGGGGTGACTGAGGCTGCGATAAAAGGAAGAACGTACAATCTCCTGAGACCTATGCAAGGCTGTATTAACTTTAGGGATGACGGAAGAGAAGTATAAATTCAGAAATGTTATGAGCTGAAGCAATAGCAAACTAGGAAAGCCACCTTGAGGGAAACAAGTTGAAGAAAGACAGAGTGTAAAGAATAAAGCTGTTCACACTTTCCCAACATCAGGGGCTTTTCCAGGGAGTCTTCTCTTCTCATGAGATGGCCAAAGTATTGAAGCCTTAGCTTCAGGATCTGTCCTTCCAGTGAGCACTCAGGGTTGATTTCCTTCAAAATGGATAGGTTTGTTCTCTGTGCAGTCCAGGGGACTCTCAAGAGTCTCCTCCAGCACCCCAGTTATAAAGCATCAATTCTTCAGTGGTCAGCCCTTTATGGTCCAGCTCTCACTTCCATACGCAACTACTAGAAAAACCATAGCTTTGACTATGCAGACCTTTGTCGGCAAAGTGATGTTTCTGCTTTTTAAGATGCTGTCTGGGTTTGTCATCACTTTCCTCCCAAGAAGCAGGTGTCTTTTAATTTCGTGGCTGCTGTCACCATCTGCAGTGATCATGGAGCCCAAGAAAGTAAAATCTGTCACTGCCTCCATATCTTCCCCCTTCTATTTGCCAGGAGGTGATGGGACCAGAGGCCATGATCTTAGTTTGTTGTTTTTTTAGAGTTAGTAGTCAAGAACAATTGGACAGCACCAAGTTGCCTACCCATGGGTTTATAAGTAGGCATTTAAAGAGTTAAACTGCTGTGTATTTCATGAATTCTAAATCATTTCCCTGTCCTGGAAAGATATTTCTTAATTCAAGATATGAGGATGATTTTAAGGACAATAGCAACACCAAGTTTCACTGGCTGACAGGGCATCACATTTTGCAATAAACTTACTCCCTCTGCTTATACTAGGTACCACAGAAGAAGAATCTTCTATATACTGCCAACACTTACATGTCTAGGTCTTGATAGTACTGGTCCTGGTGGTCTTGGTGCCTGCTGACTTCCAGTTTTAATTCCTGCATGGAGATCACAAGGAGAAGTTGGCATATATAAATCTCAGGTGCTAGATCAGTATCTGAGGTGAGCCCTAAAAGTCTTTATACTTCTAGCTTTCTAATGACACTATATTCAGTTCCATGAAAATTCCCATGTTCTGTTTCTTAAAACACCAAAGGATTGCTTTAAATGTTTTCTCCCCCGGGGTGGGTCATCACTGGTGCTCCTGGTCAGCAATTGGACGCCACCCCAGACACCCGAGCAGGATCTTCAGACCAAGCTAGTGCTGTGTCCAAGGTTGGTATGGAGTAGGGTTGATCAGCATGGGAGAGGGAGGAAGCCCCAGTGGTTATAAGGCACAAAGTAAAGGGGGATGAGCTGTCTATCAGACAGGGGCCAAAAAGGAGATGCTAGGAGAGACCAGGAGGGGTCCTGGGGAAGATGAGAAACAGGTGGCACAATTGAGGAAAGCAACGGACACTTTAGAGAGGGAGAAGGAAGGGGCCTAGGGACGTTCTGAGAGGATCCCTGGCCAGGGAATCCTCACGCAGCTCCAGGTACCTCGGAAACAAAGCACCAGGCAAAGGACGTCCAGCCTGTTCCCAAACCCCAAGTCCCAGCACTATAACCACCACTGACAACAACAACCTGTGAAGGTCCAGCTGGGTCCTACACCCCAATGAACATTACCAATTCAAATTTAGGGTTCTGTGCACATAGAATCCAAAGCAGAAATCTTTGAGAAATATATAATATATCTGTCTTTCTCAAGATACCTGAAGTCAAAATTATACAGTACATTTGCCAGTCCAGGTAGATTCCTCCAAGTTGCAAAAAAAGATTCCTTTTACCTCTATCACCATTCGGTATTCATCCAGGGTCATCCTCAGATCTTCAATTTCTTTCGTTTTCTATAAACAAACAAACAAACAAAATCAAAATCAGGCCAATAAAAAAGGAATCACGTTCAGATTAACTGTGGTCTTGTAGAACATTCTGTCACCAAACAAATTTTAAAATATAGATGTTTCTTTTTGCATCAAAATTCCACCCAGCCATGAGATGATAGTGACACCTAGTGATCCCTGAACACAAGCACAGGAGATTGAACATTCCCTGCACGTTTTGCAATTTCAGAATAATATATAAAATTATCAATAGATATAAATAGGGTTATAAGGTATAATTAGTGAATTGTTTGGATAAATAGATTTCAAAAATATTTTCACAGACTAAAACGTGCTCCTGATTTTAATCATTATTTTAATACAAGCAATTTTAGTTAATATTCTTAATTCAAGTACTTATAAAAAGTACTTTACAGATATGTACCATTTGAACATGTATTCCATTCCACAGTGACAGAATCATACTGTTTTCACCTGTATGTAAATGCATTACTTTAAAAAGATGAGAACTTAATATATAAGCTAGCAACAACAGTGACACACAAGTTATTCAGATAGTTGTATTTCTATATAGAAATAAGAAGAGATCTTCTAAGACAGATCTGCATGATATTTTCACTTTTAGCACTTAAACACCTGGCTAACATTCTGATATTTTAACATTTGACAACATTTGTTTTTATTATTATTTTTTGTTTGTTTTTGCTTGTAGTTTTATATTTGGAAGTCACTCGGAAAGCATGGCCAGTGGGATGGTACATAAAGAATTTAAATAAACCAATAAATAAAATAACATGTGGAGAACGATAAATTGTCCTGCCTACAGAGATGGATGTTGCATGTAACTTACATCCTATGCGCACAACTGAATGTTATTATTCATTAAATCACCAACAAAAGTCATCAAAATAGAAAACGGTCCATACAGTGAATTATTATCAAACCTAATGTTCTAAAAGGCAGCAAGAATTTTTCATTTCTTTATTTAAAAAAATCTGTAAAACTTGAAACTTCATTACTTTATGAACAACAGTTGGCGCTGTTAACACTCAGATTCCACTGACTCACTCCCAAAATACATTCAGTTTTTTATTTTTACTTCCCTCCACCTAAAAGTTTTCAGTTTGTTGTTCAACTGAGTTGTACAGTTCATAGGTCTCATTAAAGGTGGAAAAAGTTCTGCAATGATTTATCTCATTTTTTTGCATCAAGGACACTTGACATTTTAACAGGGGTGTGTAAACTTTTTATATCCACTATATCCTTAGACCTCTTCCTTTAATAATTTGCTAGCATGTGCTTGAAATAGGACCTTCTCAGCTGTTGCCCCCCCATCTTTGGAACACCCTCCCTATAGAGATCCGCCTGGCTCCAACACTTTGGGCTGTTCAGCACCAGGCAAAGACCTTTCTGTTTAGCCAGCAATTTAATTAAATAGTATCCTTTAGCTGGCCGGATGAGCAGCAGGTTCTATTAATGATATGTTCAGTTTTAATATAGGGTATTATTACAATATTGGGTATTTTTTATATTTTTAATGTTTTTCTAAAACATTAAATTAATATTGTTGTATGCTGCTTAGAGACCATTGGTAATGGTGCAGCTAAAAATTCCTATAAATAAACAAACAGGTGTTTGGTGCCCTACACACTCTGGCAGGCACCCACTTTGGAGCGGGCATCCCAGCTTCTGTGCCTCACCTCTTCCGGGCACTGGTGGTTTGTTCTCATTTCTACTCCTGAATCCTAGTTCTCATCTTTTACTCTATCCATCTAGCCATTCTCAAGCTTTTTGTTTGTTTGTTTGTTTTTTTGGGCCATGGCCATAAAAACAATATGAAAGAAATATAGGCTGAATCAGATTGTGTAAGATGCATAATGAACCTTATAAAGTGGTGTGTGAAGAATTGTTTCCAGTCTGTGGCCCCCTTCAAATGTGCCAGGGCCCCAAAGGGGCCATATGGCTGGCTTGCATCGAGAATGGTCACACAGCTTTTCATTTCTGCTACCTTTTAAATTACAAAAAATTCAGTGTTCATACTCCATATATGTGACTCACCTTATTAAGGGCAGCATCTTTGCAGGAGAGAAGGTTTTCATACTCAGAGAGCTGGAACTGCAAGAAAGCAATACAGTAAATGCCTTTACATTATACTGTAATAAAAAATGAAACTACAAGAACAACAGTTAAAGGCAAAATTACTGTATTTTTTCATTTATAAGATGCCCCTCATTTATAAGACAACCCCCACTTTTCTAACCCCCAAAATTAAAAACTTAGCTTTGAATATTCAGCCTCTGGGTTCAGAACGTTGGACATTACGAGTCCCTGTTGCATCTGAGCACTGCCTATAGGCTCCACCTCCAAGGAGGTGTGTTCCAATTGGTTTGTTCAGCGTCAGCTGACATCAGTTTCATAAGGCTCGTGATTGGAGGAAGCCAAGTTCCTGACACTAGGAAGCTTGTTTACAGAGGCAAGGTAAGGGCTGTTTTGTTCTCTCCTCAGCTATCTCAGTTTACTTCCATGTAAAAGACACCCCTCAAATTTTAGTGTAATGATTTTAGGAAAAAGAAGTGTCTTATACATGTAAAAATACAGTAGTCCTATTTTAAGTACTATAAGGTTAAATAATCCTCAGTTTGTTAGTACCTTAATTTTGGCCTTCTTGGTAAACAGCTCTTTGATTTTATACTTAGTGCTTTCTTTTTCCTGAAGCAATTTCTTGTTCTGTAAGACAAATACAAAAACACCTTTATCCTTATTGCAGAAATAGGCAAATCTTTTGCACTAGCAATCCTCTAGGAGCACACAGATTGCCCAAAATGCTAAAAAATGCAAAAAGGACGAAAAGAAATAACAAAGAAATACAATAAATGGAAGCAGGTAGAAGTCCACTTCTGGTTTTGAAGAGCTGGTATATTTAGTGGGTTACAGGGGAGTTGTTAACTTTTGAAAAGGTGAGTTATCACTCTATGAGCCATTTTTGAAAAAAAAAGGCAAAATGGTTCACCTTTTTTGCCAGAAAAAGATGGCAGTGTGGAAGGACTAGAGAAGAAACTGCATGTTGTCCACTCTGCCTTACTGTCTTGCCTTGCTGAGACAGTTAGTTAACTATATCAGTGAGATTTTAGTTGTTTTCCAAAAGAACATAGAATGACATGCTATTTCTCATATTGATTTTCTTCCAGCTCCATCTTATATTCACAGTGGACATTTCTTCTGTACCTTAATGCCATAGATGCAAATGCTGCTGCAGCCTCTACTGAGCCACAAAACTCAGCATCTTGCATTTGATTGTATTTTCCCATTGCTAACATGTCTGAGTGCAACTACACCGCAAAAAAATGCAAAGTGTCTGCTGTGAAGTTGCACCTGGGATGTCTGATTTCCCCCAGTAAATTCATTTCAGCAGATCACATGACAGTCAGAGAGAGAGAGCAGAGGAAATTACCTATCTTCATTTATGAGCATCTTGTTAAAGCAGCTCTACCACAGCTGTCCATATTTGCAGGAGACACAATTATAGTAGAGCAACCATAACAAGTTGCAAACAAGGGCAATTTCCTCCTCTCTGCTGATTTCCTCAGGAGTCATCTCTTTTACCCTGCCTTTTAGGTGCTCCAGCACACCAGCCCTGGCATCAAGCCTTTAAAAAAATAAAAAGATGAAGAAGCTCAGTTGAGGGGAGATGATACTCCTCTCTCCCCAACTTAGGGACACAAGCCTCTGGTTGCCAACTGTGACAGCTCAAACAATCACACTGCTTGAACTGATATGAAAACACTTCATCAGAAAAAAGAGAAAGAGAGAAGCCGCGGCAGTAAAGGGGAACATTATTGACTGCAGGGGAAAATTCTAGGATTACAGTGGTGCCTCGCATAGCGATTGCTCCGTATAGCGATGAAATCCCTCTGTGATGGACTTTTTGCCATCGCAAGAGCGATTGCTTTGCGATGGCCCCTATGGGGAAATTTTGCTTTGCGATGATCGCAGGGAAGCGATCATCGCAAAGCCCCCATTTTCACCCAGCTGATCAGTGGTTCCAAAATGGCTGCCGGGTAAACAAAATGGCCACCCGCTGTTTTGCCTCAATTTAGAGGCACCGAAAATGGCCGCCGCAATGGAGGATTTTCGCATAAGGTTAATTTTTAAGCCCATAGGAACGCATTAAACACGTTTTAATGTGTTTCTATGGGCTTTTTAAAATCACTTAGCAATGAAATCTCTTAGCAGCGATTTTTGCTGCACCGATTAACATCGCTAAGCGAGGCACCACTGTATTCACGTTGTCTTGTATGTCATGCAGTGAAGCTAACTATCCAAACCCCTGAACATTTCCTCCATTGTTTGTCCAAGCAGTCATGTCCTAATTTTACTTTCTGAAAATCCCAGTTGTTTCTGCTCACCTCTTCCTGCAGATTATCCACTTGAACAGAAAGCAACTGCTGTTCTTTTTCCTAAAATATGGGGAGAAAGTACAGTTTGATTTACCTTTATAAAGAGCTTGAAAACACAGGACAAACACAGGATGCATAAATGTGTTACATTTACATTAATGTGTGAAGCTGCTGAACTGCCAAACTATACATGACAGATAACTTGTCACTACAACAGAAATCTCTTTAGTATTCAAGAGATTGGTAAACTGCACAGAAAAATCATTTACAAAAGAAGAAAGTGGTTATGACCTTACTGCAGGTGAGAAGAGCTACTGCTATGATAATTATGCACAATCAGAACCTGAGAAATTCCCTCTTGTGATAACATGTTCTCTGTAACACAACGGGGCCCTCAAAGTCTTCCTACAAACTGACCATGACAATAAGTTATAACCTGAACTTACCAATCAAGCAATACAAATGTTATCATTTCATCAACTGAATGCAAGCTAAGACAAATCACAAATGTATATAAACTTATAAAAAGAGAATCCATTGTACTTATATCAAGTACTCAGAAGGCCGTACCATCTGTCGCACTTGCGTGTGCAGTTTATTAGTTTCCTCTTCCAGATTTTTTGAAAAAATCTTCAGATCTTCTAATTCATTCGCCATGACCTTAGCTTGCTCCAGGGCTTGCTGGGTGCTGTAATAAACACTGCAGATATTGAGTTAGGCTTTGGATTCTACATCCAAAGTTTAGGATTATCAAGCAATGTCAGACAGAACAAACTGAATGGACAAGAAGAGGAATTGGAAGACAGTCAAGATCCAATGTGGTAATCAAAATAAGGAGCAATTAACCATGGACAATTCTGGCAGGTCTAAACAACAATCTTCTGTCCCAGAATATACCAAAGATTTTAGATTACAAAAAATTCAAAAAAGGGGGAACTGGCTGGAAGTCCACTTCTAGTTTTGAAAAATTGAGCAGTAAATTCAAATAGGTCCCTGTGACCTAGTTAAAAACCTAATGGCTACTCCTGGAAAACTGAAGGAGTACCCGTTTACCACTGTTCCCCCCCCCCCCGAAAGCGTGGGTTGGGATGGAGGGCTGTGGAGCATGAAAACAGCCTGGGAGGACCACATGCAGCCCAAACACTTATTTTTTACATTGAGGTTTCAGGAGTGAGTACTCCACGGTCCAGAGGTGAGCAAGCACAAACAACTGCAAGTTGCCCACCTTTGAGTTACACGGGGTCAGGCCTAAATGCTTCTTATTGTGTTATGTCTGTGTTGAATTTTCTTAACAATGCTGCAATACTGCAAACATAACTGAGGGTTTTCTACTGTTTCTTATAGCCTACTTTTCACTACTAAACCAGCCTCCCTGAACCTGGTATGGTTTCTTCCAGATGTGTGAGACCATTGCTGCTTTTACTCCTGGCCACACCGGCTGTAAGATAAGAGTTATAGTCCAACATGTTTGGAGGGTGTCTGTTTGGGGAAGGATTGACTAAGCCTTCTACTGTTCACTTCCCTGTACTAATCCTAATCAATTGCCCTATATGTGTCAAACCCAATGCCTGTACTTACCTTCTCAGCTTCCCATTCAGCTCAGTCATCTCCTCAGAGAGTCTTGAATTGAGCTCTTCTGCAGCCTCAATAGTCTTTTGCAGCTTGATATTCTGCCTTGCCAGTTTCTTGTTTCCCTGCTGAAGGTCATGTATGCTATTTGTTAGCTCTGTAGCCTCTTCTCTTTGGCTTAAAAGAGTTAGAAAAAGCCAGTGAGCCAGAAATTAATCTTTGCCATATTGTTCCATGATAATACTAATTCTACCATGTGTATGTGTTACTATATGCCCTCCCTACTGTGTGCAACGATGGTAAATTCAGTTTTGAATGCCAGTCTGTGCAGACACTATTAACTGGTACGTCTTGCTATTACAAATAAGCAAACATTCATTATATATTCTGCCATTGCAATCACTTATTATTTTTATTTACATCTTTTCACAACACTAAAACATAGCCATTTATTTATTTACTTATCTATATCTCACCTTTCTACTTAAAAAGAACCCAAAGTGGATTACATCATTTAAAAGACAATGTTTAAAAGGTAAAAACAGTAAGTATACAAATATTTTAGAAATAATTAAACAAATATTACATTCATAGTGGTAAATAAAATAATACTAAAACACATTTAAAAACAGCGGAGCACAACAACCCATTTTAAAACCCCTCTCAGATCACCAGTTATTAAGGGAAAGCCCCCCTAAAGAAAAGTCTTTGTCTGTTTGAGAAAGGACAACAAAGATAGGGCCAGCCTAGTTTCCCATGGAAAGGAGTTCCTGGAAGCAGCAACAGACAAGACCCTCTCCTGTATCTCCAAGTATAGCTGTGAGGATGGTGGAACCGAGAGAAAGGTCTCCCCTGAAGATCTTAAAGCTGGTGCAAGCTCATAGAGAGAGGAGATGCAGTCTTTTAGATGCCTTGGACATTTATAGTGCTATGCTACTATAATAATAATATATGTGAAGGACTAGAGTTCATTTCCATTAACTGGCTTTTACAATACAGTAAAATGTGAGTGAATGAGAGCCAAAGTGATTCTACAATACTTGTCTGGAAGGAGCCTTGTGACCAGAAATTTTTTTTAATGATTTGTATAAAAATAGCAGTTTGTGACTGTGGATTGCCCATAAAATGTGAGTGAAAGAGAGCCAAAATGATTCTACAATACTTGTCTGGAAGGAGCCCCTCTCTTCAGTACAGCTGTATGCTGTTGGCTGAAAGATTCTAACTGATAGATCTGAGTATGGGATCTATGCCTGGATTATAACATGAAATTCCCCACTCCTTTCCCCTAATTATTTCAGCCAGACCTGCAAGTGAAGAGATAACATTCTCTTTAATTTGATTTAGAAGAGGTAGCCATGTTAGTCTGTGTTAGCATATCAAAACAAAATAAAAATAAAAACGACAAAAACATAGTGGCACTTTAAAGACTAACTCCTCAGATGTCTGAGGAAATGGACTTGTCCATGAAAGCTCAGATTAAAATATAGCAGTTAGCCTTTAATCACAGAATAAGCTAAGTTGGAAGGGCCATAGAGTCCAACCCTCGAGTCCAACCCCCTGCTCAAGGCAGGAATCTACATCAAACCAAGTCTGACTAATGATTGTCCAGTTTTCTTTTAAATACCTCCGGCATTGGAGAATTCATCACATTCCAAGGTAAATGATTCCATTATCGTACTGCTCTAATAGTTGAGAAGTTTTTTTCCTGATATTCAGCCTGTTACCATGAACCCGTGAAAATCCAGCAGAGTTAAGGTTTTTTCAGGTCCACAAGGCAAAATAAATCACTCAACTTCAAAAGGTAACAAAATGAGTACCTTCAATAATTGTCCACTATCACCAGTACATATTTTGCTCCACCCAAAAGGTCCAATCAAGTCTGCATGCACCAGCTAAAAAGGCCTTGTTGTCTGACTAGTTCGTTCTTTACTTTTAGGAGACATCTTAGATTTCGCCAGTTTACAAATGTTGCAATCTAAATAGTTTTTAACACTCCTTCAATTGAACACCTTTTGCCATTGTTGTATTTTCTGAAGTGTCCTGAAGTTCACATGACCTAATCTCCTGTGTAAGAAATGTTTAAAAATATATTAATGAAAACACATAAGCAGCAGTAAAAGGGCCCAGAGTTTCCATGTGATTTATGAATCGTACATTTCTATTGTCTAGTAGTTAGAAGAAGGGGCTCCTTATGCAGCTAAGGAGATTCATCAGTCTCTGCAGACAGACATAGCAAACAAAATCTAACTTCATGAAATTCTGTGTATGTGAAAATAGAAAGCACCACATTTAGGCCTAATAATAAACTTCTGTAATATTAAGACCATATCTAACTAATATATTACTAACCCTTCATGTCGACAGTCTGCAATCCAATCTTTCATGACTGCATAGAAGGTAGAAAAATCAACAGTAACCCCTCTTTCTTCAGGGTCCAATCTCTTATACAAAGACCGAAACCTCCAGTCTTCGCAGCTCTCCCCCGTCATCTCCTGTAAGTATTCAATTATTCGGAAAACAGACACCTCTCCTACAACCAGAAAAGAAGTGGAGGTACAACATTTTAATATAAATATTTAATGGACATAGAAGAGAGAGAAAAACAGGGTTTACCTCCTTGTTCATATACTAGTATAGTCTACTGTAGCATGTTTTACAGTATATATCATTTCCCCTCTTATCTAAAACAAGAGTGAATTCTGTCTGTGGTGGGCAGGTTGTCTATGAAATCTGAGAATGGCCTGTGGTTCCTCCAGGAAGAATAGCCTTCAAGCCATGTATTTCCCTATCTTCCTCTGTATTGGATAATTACAAGTATTTGAACTTGTGACAAAAAGTTCATCACGGCATCTGTTTGCCACAAACTTTTACTTTCCAAGCCTGTATTTTCCAATAAAAAAACCCTGCAAACTCCTTTCCATAAGTTAGTAGTAAAATATTGTATTATGAAAATGCAGTTGCTATTTCTTCATATGTTTTATAATAATTTTGGGTTAGTCGCACAATTTTTCTATGCTTTCTTCGCTATTATCAACAGTTAGGAAACATGATTATACAATATTGAGGTTTGTGGGATTTGCTGTTAGCTGAAAAAGCATTACCTAGTCTGGAATGCTCTCTCTAGCTGGCTGGATAACTTAATAGCATGGAGCAACAATGGAAAATTTGATTCCCCACTGTGCCTTATAGAAGTGCCAGCCTGATCTTGAGCAAGCTACACCAACCCAGAAGGAAACTGAAACCACTTCTGAGTACAGTACTCTATACCTAGAACATCATGGAAAGGGCTGCCAATGAATAAAAAAGTGTGGTCAATGGGCTGCATGTGCCCCTTTGGCACCTCCCCAAACTTTTTTTAAACTTTTTTTTGCTGAAAATGTCTTGTGTTATCTGCATTTTTTGCGTACCATCACTTTTTGCCCTCACTGTCCCCAACAACCCCCTTCCAAACTGATTTTTTTTAAAAATAGAGTCCTAAAATACATGAAGGAGCTACAGTATTTCAATTTTTTAAAAGGCTTTTTAAAATAAAATTATTTTCAGGTTTGGAGCATAGGAGTGGGTGCTGCCCTCCATGCTCCAGGGGTGGGCATGGGTGACCCTTAGACGTCTGGAAGTTTCTTGCCCATGTTCTCTGAGAGCATAACTTGTTCTACACTTTACAGCATAATCTTACAGAGGTGTTAGCAGATTGAATAACAGGAACATCAAAAGCAGAAATAAAAATGTAAAGGACAGGGGAAAATAGAATAAATCAAGAGAATGAAAAAATAAAGATGACTTCAAATACAGAGAATTGTACTGTATAAGATCATCAGGAACAAATTTAGGGAAACCAAAGAATATTGGTTGCCTGAATTTCAAGAACAGAAATAAAAAACCTAGAGAAGATATTTTAATGTTCATGAAAAAACAAGGTAGCAAATATGTTAGCAAAAAAATGTTACTACAGTACTAATGGACATCAACAATTCTCTGAAACTTGATGTCAAGGATAAAATCATTGTGCGGACTAACCACATTAAAATCTCTTATGAAATAAAAAACATGAAGTAGAGTTTGGGCATGACTACACTGCAATTTACTCTGTGGTTTCTGCCAGAGTTGGCACAGTTAAAATCAATGTATTTTCTGCCAACTACATAACATTCAGCTAGCATGGATAAAAATCAAGTCCTGGATAACTGACATCATGAAGGGGACGGCTGTACAACTTTTATATATCCTAATAAATTCAAACTAAAATGAGAGAAGTGGTCCTTCTATCTTTTTTGACTTATTACTGATAAAATTGCCGAGGACAGCTGCAGCTGATGGAAATCTGTTTTGGTGAAGGTTGGGGAGACAGAGGCGAGGTAAAAGCCAAGCCTCGGCTTTTTCCTCAGCCGAAGCTCGGCTGGGGTTACACTGCCTTGTGTGTGGTGGGGAGAGCCCACAGAGTCAACATAGCCACCTTCCCCGCCTTTTCTCACAGCCATCATTCAGCTAGTCACAGTGATGTTTCTTTTTTGTTGTCGTCGTTAATAAGTAGCATGGTATTAGAATTTTGCTGTGTCCATTAGGGGAATATTTAAAAAAGGAAGATGGAAATAGAGGAGGGGGTTTCTTTGCACCTCCTTTTAATGTCACAACCCACCTAATACGTCACAAGATTGTCTCCTCAGCTATCTCTGCCCATAGTTCCACTTGGATATGGGCTAACTGTCCACACAGGCTACACAATCAGTTAATTAGGATCAGGCTGAATAGTACCAAAAAGAATACATGTCCTACTCTTGTGCCAGAAAGATGCACAACAGCTCTTAAAGGGGGAGGGTGAACAAACATGGATGCCGTCATTTGGTTCGAACTAACTGTACCAACAGTGATCCATATACCCATCTATATGCCAGTCTGGACAGGCTCCATGACAGACATCTGCTGCTAAACTTTTGTAAAAGGTACCTGCACATTTTAACAAACAAATATCAGATCTCATAGTAGTTCTGAAAACTGGTGGTTTTCACGTAAATTAAAAAGAAAACTTTCTACCTGTTTGTTCAGGATCACAGGCCTTAAATGTGCATTTCAGAACGTGTTCTTCAGAACACTGGCTTGTATTTAGGATGATGTTCTTGCTACTGATGACACTGTTGTCCCAGGGTACTGCTAAGGAATGAGGAAGTAACATTTAAAATCAATTAGATTTTTCTTAAACCTGGATTATCTGTAGATCAAGTCATCCTTCTGGAACTGTTATGAAATACATTTACAATCTCATTACTGAAGTGAGGAAGTCTGAAATAAATCTGCTCGGAAAAAAACTTGGTATGAATTTATAGATACTTGTTATGTCCATATCTTGAAAGAGGGAAATCTGGTTATTGTAAAACTCTGCAGAGCTTTTAACATCACAACGTTTTTATGACATGGAATCCATTCTAATTTTACAGAAAATCATACTGACCAGTTTCTGTATACAGTATATAATACATCAAGAAGGGTCCACAATAAATTCAGCTGAAAAGAAATTACGGAAAAAGATCTGCTACAGTATTTGTCTTAATGGAATCCTCTCTACCTTTCAGAGCCTAATAATATGCCTTTTCTCTCCATATATTCCATTCATAAATCTCCATCTCTCTATTAATTTCAATCAAAGAGTACCTCTCATTTCTATCCAAAGCTCACTCATTTCATAGAACCTCATATCCTCAAACATATTCTCCTCACCAGAACAAAACTAGGTTAGTAGTTTTTGCAAAAGACTGAAAAGAATCCATATAAAACTTCCTGTGGTTCTATTTGTTCATTCAACGTATTCTTCATTTGTTATAAAACCAATTGTGCTAGCATTCAAATGAAAAATAACAGGGTAGATTTACCTAATCTGTGTTACTCATACACTCCATGGTGCTGGATAAGTACTACATAAAGAGAACATTATGATTGCTAGTAATGGAAGTTAAAAGCCTAAATGGGATTCATGATAATCAGTGCTACCACCATTACAATTGTCACCCATATGCCAGATATAGCACAGCGATATTTGGCTGTTTGATGATACAAATGGGAAAGGAGAATGATGCAAATAGGATGGAAGAGATTCCACCTTTGCATACCAAATACATTTCATAAACCACAAAACCTTGTCAATGCGCCAAACTTGACCATGTGCTCATAGTCTCGAGATTAGACTACTGTAATGCACTCTACATGGGGCTTCCCTTGAGATTGATGCAGAAACATCAAATGGTCCATAACATGTTGGCCAGATTACTAACTGGGGTGAACAAATATCATATTTCTCCCACTCTGGCCACCTTACACTGGTTACCCATTAGATTCCACATCAATTTCAATATGCTAATGATTGCATATAAAGCCCTAAACAGTTTAGGACCTTGATACCTGCCAGAGCGCCTTCTTCCACCTACTTGTGTCACTTGTTCCAGCCAGGCTGGATGGCTGAGAGGCTTAACTCAGAGAGAGGTCTGGAAAGAAAAAACTAGAAACCCGGCCTTCTCCTTCCTCCTGAGATCTACCTAGGTCCCTTGCTGGGAATTTTTAAGAATAAACTTAAGACCTGGCTCTTCAGGCAGGCCTTCCCTCCTGACATTACTTAAGTTCTTCCTCTGGTTTTTCCATCTTGGATTATGTTTTCTTGTTTTAGTCTTTTTATTGATGTATTTAATTTTATTGCTTTTTTTTGGACTGTAAACCGCCCAGAGTAGATTTGTCTAGATGGGCGGTATAACAGCCAAATAAATAAATAAATTTTTATCTAGATGGCCGATATAAAAGCCAAATGAATGAATAAATAAATAAAATAAACCTGGTTTATTATAAACCAGAATCTCATGGATTAGAACCAGTAAACGTCCAATCCAAATCTCCTTCTTCCATGAAATTAACTTGGAGAAGTTCATACATTTCATCTTAACATATCTTGTAGGATTGTTTGGAGGATAACGCGGAAAGTAAATAACATCCATGTTGTCACAAGTTCAATAAAATAATACTTGGACCACAGATCATTTCAGATTGCAAGATGATGCTATGATAGTTCTTTCACAACCAGTATTTCTGTACTGGAGCATTTCTCTCTCAAGTTAGGAGTCAGGTAAATTCATAATGTAAGAAAAAGAGCAAATTTTACATAAACTAAGTTTAATTTGATAAATATGTTATTTTTATAATCATTCAGCTTTACATCTATTTTTACAGGCACTTTGGATGAATCTTGTGCACAGTTTAGTAAACTGGTTTAAGGTTGCTAACAGTCTCTCAATTTTAGAGATTAGACTAATCTCCGGGAGTAATTTTCAAGTAAATAGGTACTGGATTACAATCATTACCATGTGGTCTATTTTCTTAAATTAAAAGAGGAAGGTGGAAATGGTTTAAGGAACCAATATTTTTAATTAAATATAAAATACTGAACCACTGGAATTATCAGGAATGGCCAATACTTACTTTCTGTTGACAAAACTGCAGTTAGTTGTGCAAATACTGCATTTTCGGGAGACTTTTGATAAATATCCTCCATCATTACAAACAGATAAATTTGTCTACAATCAGAGCTGTGTTCCGCAGAAACATTCTTTTCAAGAAGAAATCACAAGATAACTTGTCTATTTACCTGCAGCAAATAAAGCAGGAACACAATTCTAGTATCTACAAAGTAAGATGCCTCTGCAGGGAATTAATTATTTGCCAGGTTTGTCAAAGTAATAAAACACCTGGTTGAATTAGTACTAATTAAGCTAATTTCTTAACTAGCCTGTACCAAAGGCATGACAATTGATCTATTCAAAGGGCATAGGGCAGATAAACCTTTGAAAGTTGGAAAAGTGGTTTAAATATTATATTCAACATCCAATGATAAAACAGAAGAGATTTGCTTTCATGCTTTTTTGTGTGGTTGTAGTAATAATACACTCCTGACCAGTTCTGAAGCTTTTCTTTGCTTCTATCAGAATTAGGAGTGAAAGCTGCAATATATTCTCACTACACTGTGGGCTTACAAATGGGAAATGCTTAACATAGATAAAATTTTGCAGCAGAACCATTAATTTCTCTTCTGCCTGTATGTAACGAATGTGCACACAATAGATATGCAGATATTCAACCATTACATAGAGCCAGAAATAGACTGTATTGTTTCCTGTCATACAATCTCTCAATAGCAAACACATCTAAACACATTTAATGAATTAGCTCATAATTTCACATGTATTTATGTAAAAGGTATTGTTAAGATAAGAACCATCCACACAAACGTCTACCTTTCACCAAGCAAAATTGTTTGGATACACTACAAAAAGTACTGTATGTTCTGTAGGGGAGATTTTGAGGGTGGCTTCTCTGCCCATTTAAGTGGAATAATAATGTATTTAATAAGGGGCTGTATATTAAAAAAGTGGGAGACTGACTATACAATTCTTTTGATCATTTAAATGGAATAATAATGTATTTAATAAGGGGTGGTATATTAAAGATAGTGGGAGACTGACTATACAGTTCTTTTGAACACCACTAATTATTTGGTATTTTATTCATTTTGGACGATGAGAGGAATTTTATAGCAATCACAGAGTGTAAAGTTTAGGAGTATTGTCATGGAGGGCTGAAGAAAAGGAAATATCTGAGGTAAAAATTAACTGTGGCGATTCTGGAATAGGAATATCACATTTCTTAAGATACTGACAGACACAGGTAGCTGTGCTATTATCTGCAGCAGCATGAACTGTGTGTAGGTTCCTCCATATTACATATTACATACTAGTGTTTTCCCTGGAACTCAGCTTATTATTAGTATATTACAGTTACTGTATTATAATTATAATTATCGATATCGTAGTGTGGGTTTTAACATTTAAAACAATTTTTTTCTCCTCCACCGAATTGCATGAACAGTCAGTGCCAATGTTAAGGCCTGGACCCCAAACATACTGGGAACGAGGGTGCCGAATGGTTTCTCCTTCCATCTCTAGCTCCCCAGCTTCCAACGCCACAAAAAAAATGTTCAAGAAGCTGCCATTACTTATGCGTAGCAGAAGAGGAACAGCCTCGAAGTATTTGAGGAATACCTTGGGAAAGGCGACCTCGAAACTGCGGCAGAGGAAGGAGATAAAACGCCAGAGAACCACCTCCGTAACAAAACTAGGGAAAAACCAAAACAAATCAGAGAAAACCCCTCGGTCGAGACGAGGGGCCCAGCCCAGCTCCCTCCGTGAACAGGAGAGCCAAGCTGAGGGGGGAGGAGGAGGAGGAAGGCGTCTATGAGCGTCGTCTAGGCAGGGCGTCTCTGGAGAAAGGCGGGAAAACTCAAAGGGGGAGTTAGGGCAAGGGCTGGGGATACACGATGTTGTTAAACAAAAAGGTTTTGCTAGGACGGCTAGACGGAGTGTTCTGATACTGTACTCCTTAAAATGCGGTCTCTGCAGTCCCGTTTGCCAGCTGTTCCCTCCTCCTCGCCTCCCTACTTTTCTCTCCTAACGGAAGCCACCGGGTAGAGTTTGCAAGAGCTTGAAAAGGGCCGCTGAAGACATTTTGGAGATCGGTCATTCAGAGGGTACTCGACGAAACAGTGCTCCGTTTCTTTCTTCGGTCGTCTCATATCTTAACCCTTTCTCTCATCGGTCCTCACTCTGCATTTCTTTTGTGGTTTATTTATATCCTCACTTCCTGTTCTCGCCTCATAATCCTCCCCCTTTTCTCGCTAACGTGCAGGGATTTATACTCCCAACTCAGCCATTAACCCAGTAAGGAGGGCGGAGATGAGGTGGCAGGAAAATGTAAATAGAAGCCTACTCCCCAAATGCTTATTTTTAGAAGCAAGTCTCCCCTGTTTCTCCCCCCCCTCCGCCCCCCATGGCTCACTTAAACGTCCCAGTGAAACAGCAACGGTAGGAGGTAATAACTGATGATGTGATGAAAGGCATTTTAGGAGTATCACTTGCTGTTTCCTGCATTTAAGGATGGCATTTTAGAGCCTCTTGCAATATTCTGCATGGAAGAGTTTTGTTTCAGGAATGCATTGCCATCAGCTGTGGTGTTGTGGGGGTAGGCTGTGGTATTGGGTGGCTGTGTGGGGTGGTGGCTGCCTTCCTGCCACCAATCTGCTGACTGGTGGCCAGTAGGCAGAATGGTGAGGGAGGATTTGTTTGTTTTATATGAAGGACGAATAAAAATGGGTAAATATTCATCCCTTTGTATCCGTGGAGGTGTCTGGAACCCACAAATACAGATTGATGAATATTTAACGAATCAGCTATAGTTTTATCCAAAAAACCAATCCATTTTTATATTCGTCCCCATCTCTAGTTCAGACGCTCCCCGCTTATTTTCACACCTGACTGGGAAGAGATTCCTTCAAGCTTTGAATAACATTAATCCACCTGTACGGCCTCCAATCTCTCAATGGTCTCCTCAGACTGTTTTGATGGCTCTTCCACGCTCAAAATTCTAACCTGTGGCTTCTACTCCTCTAAAACTTCTTTCTCTAAAGACTTCATTTCTGATGGCTACTACATCTGCACAGATGGCAAGTGAGTTGGCTGCACTGCCAGCTGATGCACCTTATATACAATTTCACTTTGATAAGGTCATCTTATATCCTGATGTCTCATTCCTCCCTAAGGTGATTTCATTCCTCCCTAAGGTGATTTTTGAGTTTTCATGTTAATCAGCCTTTGATCCTCCCAATGTTTTTCCTAACACTTCTTCCGATGTTGAGCACATGCTCCATTCCCTTGATGTTCATTGGGCTTTGGCCTTTCATATTTCTAGAACTGAGGACTTCTGCAAATCTCCCAGACTGTTTGTTTGCTTCCACAGTCCTCAGAAAGGTCATCTGGTCTCTTCTCAGTTTCCAGATGTATAGTTTCTGCCATGACTTTAGCCTATGAGCTGGTTGGCAAGGACCCAACAAAAATACTGAAGGCATATTGCACTAGAGCTGTGGCTACTTCTACTGCCTGGCTACGTGGCAATGAAGTCTCTGACATTGTCAGTCAGCTACTTGGTCTACTACACCATCGGCCTTTGTTACACATTACAGACTGGATGTCAGAGCCAAAAAGAAAGCAAGGGCTGTGCTGACTTCAGTTTTACTGTGACTGCCCTCCTTTCGATAAGTGAGCTTGCTAGTCACCCATTAGTAGTGCATTCACACAGATCACAAAGAAAAAAGAGAGGTTACTTACCACGGTTCTTTGAGTGGTACTTTGTGAATCCATGTGTCCCGCCCAACCTCCCCGCTGTCCATCACAGGTTATCTACAGTTTTCTAATTATCAGAGCTATGACAGCGGCGGATGTTTGGAACTGAAGTATCATGGGCGGGCGGGGCAGGTCCACCATTGGGAAGTGTTCTATTGATCAGTTATTTAAGCTCTAGAATATTCCAAAGAATCCTGCGCAGGCACAGTTTAACCCACTGGTTCTTAACCTCGGGTTACTCAGGAGTTTTGGACTGCAACTCCCAGAAGCCTTCACCACCAACTGTGCTGGCTGGGGTTTCTGAGAGTTGCAGTTCAAAAACATCCGAGTAACAAAGGTTAAGAACCACTGGTTTAACCCATTCGTGTGGATTCACAGAGTACCACTTGAAGAACCATTGTTACAGGTAAGTAACCTCTCTTTTTTGCTTGTGTATTTATCCAACTACAGGAAAATTTGTGTCCTGAAATAACCAAGAACATGCTCAGTTACTATAATTTTCTCTCTAAAGCTATTATTTCATACTCTCAGCACTGAACCAACTTATTCAGAAATAGACACAAAAAGAAGGAAGTATATCTTAGCCAAGATTGTATAATTCACATAAATAATATCTTGTCATTCATAATGTGTACTATAGTATCGGGGGGGGGGGATCAAATTTCTGATTTTCTACCACTTCGGTCTTAAATGGTAGTTTAGCTATTTCAACTGAATTAATCTATTAGCACTGGGCCATAAGTATACAATTTTCAAAACCAGTACAGAGATGTATTGGAATATACTTTGGGAAACATGATCCGTACAATCCACATCTGTACAGAATAAAAGAGATGTTTCCAGTATAAACAGAATGTTTGTACAACTGTGATTAACAGGCTTAAGTTTTGTTGGCTGTGTAGCATCCAGAAATGGGTGGATTATAAGGAAGGAAAAGAGAAGACATGGTGATGGGCTTGCAGGTGAGGAGGAATAGGCTGTGGAAAACAAGGACAAAAAGCAAATGTAATTAGTAAAAGTTTGTTCCAAAGTACTGCCCCATCTCGCTGGCTAATTGTTTGAGTTCCTGGAAATCTGGTTGGATGGAATTTGCCATCTCTTTCTCCCCCGGGAACTGGCTGTTTTTGTCATATTTTTCACTCAGATCCTTAGATTGGTCAATCTTGTCCATGGAATAAGGGTCTCTGGGCAGGTTCACTATTGCAAATTGATCATCTTGTGCAGAATCATCATAGTAAGCATCTTCTTTTTCCTGACGCAACAGGATTGGCTGGAACAAAGACCGCTGTTGACCTAGACTGCTAATATCAGCACTGTTGTCTGGCTTCTCACATGTTGATACCACTACATATCTAGGAGAGAAAAGAACATAATAACAACATTGAATGGGCATTATATACATAAATATAGGTAATCCCATCTCAATATAGACTGTCACATCCTGCTTGCAGACTATCCAAAGGCATCTAGTTGATCACTGTGGAAAGTAGGTTGCTAGACTAGACTTTTTATATGATCCAGTAGTATTTGTATTTTGGTTTACATTGAAATTATATTCCAAACATATCGTCTTTTTACTGGTTCGCCCATACACATGCACAGTTGCCACTAGAGATGGGATTTTTTTAAAACTACAACACCCAGAGGTCTAGTGGAATTGCCCCCTCCCCCAAAAGCCTTCCCAATTATTTGATATAACTTATATAAATGAGAAAATATCACTCTGTTTCTAAATTCTGAGCCAGAGGAACTGGTTGCGTGAGGCTTAGCTCTTTGCCACTGTGAAACATTAGGGGTTTATTTCTATAGAGGAAATGTCACAACATACATTAAAATTTTCCTTACCTTTCAGTTCTGCACATCAGCCCTTGGGCACATGGACAGTAATGTTTAGGCTTGGCAAATGCTTCCAGGTTGTTCCAGCCCATCAAGCCAAGGAGGGTTTTTCTGGGAATCTGACATGGTTCCCCTTCTTTGGGATATGGAGTACAGAGTGGGGACAGGAGAGCTGTTTTGAAGACAGGGCAAAGTTTGAGAAATTCTATGTGTAAAACAAAGTAAAATTTAGGGTTTAGAAAATTAATTTGGGGGAAGGGGCAACAGATCCCAAAAGCTTCTCATTCATTCACATATTTCACTGAACAGGAAACAAAAGTAGGTGCAACTATAGGCTTAAGAATGTAGCTTTTAACTAGAGGTACAATACAGTGGGGTCTCTACTTAAGAACTTAATCCGTATTGGAAGGTGGTTCTCAAGTTGAAAAGTTCTTATGTTGAATCTGCATTTCCCATAGGAATGCATTGAAAACCATTTAATCTGTATCTGCTCTTTTCCATCCATAGAAACTACAGTGGAACCTCTACTTAAGAACTTAATCCATTTTGGAATGGTGTTCTTAAATTGAAACATTCTTAAGCTGAAGCAAATTTCCCATAGGAATGGACTGAAAAAAAATTAATCCGTTCTGGCTGTTTTTTTTTGTTATGTAGAGGTGTGTTCGTACATTGAAGCATTAGTTCCCATAGGAACTAATGCAAAGCTGGTTAATACGTACTCTACCACTAGGGGGAGATTTTTTTTAACCTAAGATGACCTAAGGTTAAAAAAAGAGCAGGAAAGGTTTTTTTTCCTGTTCTTATCTTGGATTTCTGTTCTCAAGTAGAAGCAAAATTTAGCACATGGAGCTGTTGTTAAGTTGGATTGTTCTTAAGGAGAGACCCCACTGTAGTTCTGCAAAGCCTCAGTAGTGTTTTGCCATTCTACCCTGGGCAAGCTGATTTGGCAATTGCATTTTAACTAAAAAAAAGAGATTGTTTTAAAAGTCTAGAAAAAGACATAAGAGCAACCTAAAGCACACTGAATACAACAATTTAGCAATCCCAATGTTTTGATTCACTATGCAAAGTATAAATGCATGAAAGAAAGAAAATTCCATACTAAAAAGCAAGTGTGGAACCAATCCTAGCTGTCTGCTTCTACAGTGTTGGGCATCAGTCTCATGCATCAAGGTTATGATTTGATTTATTGAGTATTTATTAAAAAAAACAATAAGCCCCTCCTGACCCATTCCCTTTATTGTACCTTTCTGTTTTTATGCTTTAGTTTGCACAAAGGTATTACAAAGAAACCAATGCCAGCAGAGGACTGAGCAAAAGACAATCAAATGGGTCTGGGGGAGGATTTAAAACAATTGCTTCTTGTACAGACAGCCTTAGAATGCAGTGTGCATTTAGTGCCAGCTACTGGCGGATTTCTGAACAATAATAATGCTCACCTTCTTTTCCATTTTGCCACCCCTAGGGTCAGAATATTCCATGTTAAATCCATTTTTTGAGTTGCATGGCTCTTTTAGAAACTCAGAACCACTAAACCTTAGTCAAGACTGGGTGTATCAGGAGTTAACTTCCTAGTCCCAATGATAGCTCAGTGGTTTAGGTGGTGGGAGTTCAATGCCCCACTGTGCCTTCCTTGACAAGGGCAGGACTCGATGATCCATAGAGTCCCTTCCAGTACTGCAATTTGGTGGTGGTGGTAATAAAACTGCTTTCCTTCCCTGAAGGTGCTATTTTGAGAAATTGTGAAGTTTCCTTGGGCAACCCCAGGAGATTTTCTTTTTAACCAGACAGTAACTGTGTGTATATGTGTGTGTGATCTTTTTCAGGAGTAAGATACAAGAAGAAAATATTGAGTCCCTTTCTTGTGGCCCACATTATCAGTCTTGAGTTGCCTCCCCAACCAGTTTCTAAAAATTTTCACACAATTCCAAGTGACACATTTAACATAATGTGCCGTTTGGGCCTGACTCTGCAAAGCAGGGAGAAAGGTCAATGTGCAAGAGGCACAAGTAGAGAGGAATCATCTCACAGTCACTGGTGGCACAACACAGCCCCTGAGCACATTCTTCTCGGTGTGGGTCACATCTTGTTCCACTTTCACCACGGCTCACCCCTTCTCTACACTGGCCCCACACACAAAGGTAACCCAGACAGCATTCCTTGTCATCTTGGCATGTCTAGGAAAGAAAAGCATATGAGACAATGCTGCATGAAGAAGCCCAGAACTAACCAATTCCTTCCCGGCACAGGCCGTGAAAAGACTGCATTCTTAGGGTGTTCCTTTGAAGGCCTGTTCCTATGTTACAGTTTGTGTTTCTGCTTTTCAAGATCTAATGACAGAATCAGGTTGTGTGGAGAAGGAGAGAGACCTGACTAGGGTGATAAATAGCTATTGATTCAGAAAACATGCAACAAAACTACTTTAGGTATACCATGAGACAGACTCAATAACTGAAGAAAATGGCTGAAGAAAATGGCTCCCCGCTGTGTTAGGGACGGATTCCTCGCATTACAGGCACCAAAAAATGGTCGCCGTATGGAGGATCTTCGCTGGACAAGCAGGTATTCAGCCCATTGGAATGCACTACGACAATTTCGGTACATTTCAGTGGGTTTTTTAATTTCGTTTGACGACAATTTCGCTCTACAGCGATTGCATTCCTTTAATCTAGGGGTACCCTGGAACTGTACAGCTTGCTCAAGGCTACATAGGCTGGCTCTACTCACAGAATAGTAAGGGATGTGGTGGCGCTGTGGGCTAAACCACAGAAGCCTGTGCTGCAGGGTCAGAAGACCACCAGTCGTAAGATCGAATCCACGCAACGGAGTGAGCTCCCGTCGCTTTGTCCCAGCTCCTCGCCAACCTAGCAGTTCGAAAGCATGTAAATGCAAGTAGATAAATAGGTACCATCTCGGTGGGAAGGTAAAACGGCGTTCCCTAGTGACGCTGGCCACGTGACAACAGAAAACTGTCTTTGGACAGGCGCTGGCTCTATGGCTTAAAAAGCGGGACACGACTGGACTGAAAATGTCAAAGGGAACCTTTATTTATAGGAAGCAACATGGGAAATCAAACTCCCAACTTCTGGCTCCACAGGCAGAAACCTAAACCACTGAGTTATCCAGTCAGCTATGTGCTATACAGTGGTGCCTCGCATATCGATCGCTTCATTTAGCGACAAAGTCGCTTTGTGATGCATTTTTTGCGGTCGCTTTGCGATGTTCCCTGTGGGGTATTTTCGCTTTGCGATGACTGATCATCGCAAAGCGAGCATTTTCGGCCAGCTGATTGGCGGTTTCAAAATGGCCGCCAGGGAAAAAAACATGGCCACCCGGATTCCTCACTTAAGAGGCACCAGAAATGGCCGCGCTATGGAGGATCTTTGCTGAACGGTGAGTTTTAAGCCCATAGGAACGCATTAATCGTGTTTTAATGCATTTCTATGGGTTTTTTTATTTCGCATTGCGACTTTTTCGTTCTGCAGCGATTTTTGAGGAACGAATTAACGTCGCAATGCGAGGCACCACTGTATTAGATTTTTGTTTTTCTAACTTAACTAAAAGAAAAAATTATATACCACTCATTTTCAGAGTTTTGTTTGAAAGGGAATAACTTTTATTTCAAGATTTTGAGGAAAACAATATTTCTGCTTTCCTTAGGGTTGCACCCATCGCCCTGTGGACGTGATAAAGAAAATTGGGACACCCAGAAAAGTTGGGTTTCCTCCTGCCTTAGATCTTCCGCCAGAAAAAGAAGAAGTGACGCTTTCGTGGGATGATGGACCGATTCGGGGTGACAAACAGAACCTTCTTCTTGATAGGACGAGGGGCTGCCAAAAGCCCATTCCGAATGGCCAACAGTCTGTGCCTCCTGTCACTGACTGGCTCTTCCTTTAACCAGTTGGGTTCTGGGTTCTGCTCCTCGCTCCTAGTGTGATGAGGGAGACGAATGATCAGAAAAGATAGCCTAGGTCTAGGCTGTGGAAGACCCAGCTTGAAGAACCTAAGCCCGGGGGTTGGTCTGTCTGCTTCAAGACTTTTTGCTTCCTGACTAGCCTCTTGCTTTTTCTCCTGAAAAGATACAGATAAAATGGAATGGAGGAGGGAATATTACCTCAGTATGATTTTTTAAATCTAAATACTTAGCATCAGAACTTATAAAATATTATTTTTTCTTTTTCTGGATTGCAACTCACAGAATACCCCAGCCATCATGGCCACTTCTGCCTTCCTCCTTACCTGAGATGGAAGATCAAAGTCCCACCTGTGTTCATAGAATAATGAAGTTGGAAGGGGGCCTATAAGGCCATCAAGTCCCACACCCTCCTCAATGTAGGAATACAAGTCAAAGGATACCTGCCAGGTGGTTGTCTAAATTTCTTTTGAATGCCCCCAGTGTTGGAGCACTCACCATCTCTTGAGATAATTGATTCCATTGCCAGAATCCATTATTGTACTGCTCTAATAGTCAATAAGTTTTTCCTGATATTCTACTGAAATCTGGCTTACTCTAACCTGAGCCCACTGTTGCATGTCCTGCACTCTGGGATGATTAAGAAAAGATCCTGCCCCTCCTCTGTATGACAGCCTTTCAAATATTGGAAAAGTACTATCACATCTCCCCTCAGTCTTCTTTTCTCAAGGCTAAACATACCCAGTTCTTCCAGTCTTTCCTCACACGGCTTGGTTTCCAGCCTCTGATCAGCCTTTCTTCCAAACTCTGTAACTCATCATACGCCAAGTGAGAATATGTGAAGCAAGAGGGGGAGGAGAAAACTGGGCAGAGAAGCAAGCAGCAGGGGGTAGCAGCAATATTTCTTCTTTGGAGGTAAGGTGTATTTTCCTGTTCCTCAGTTGAGTTGTGGAATGAGTGAATGGAATGGAGTCATGCCAGGATTTGAATGAATGCTGACTCTGTAAATGCCTGCCTCTGTGTGTGTGTGTGTGTGTTGTGTGTATCCCCCAAACTATACATTGCAGATAGCCCATCCTACAAATAGCTAAAATCAGGTACTGTTCTAGAGGTGTGGCTCAGAAGACTTTTATTTGCTGAATAATCATACCTGCAAATAAAGCCTGTGGTTTACCTCTGGAAGATCAATCACAAAACAATCTGCACATCACAATAAGATATTTGTAAGAAGACATGAAGTTCCCTCTTCTAATGACCAGCTACATGCAACATATAGTTTGGCCCTAAATATGTCCCTGAAACAAGAGACGGAGTCTGTTGTTAATGTTGAATTGAGCAGGTTGTCAAAAAATAAAGGATTTTTGTTAGAAACTTCTGGTGTCCCTGAGTCATCCCTCCAGCACGATACGTATAAGGGAGAAAAGGGAATTACTCCAGATCACACCCTGACTGTGCCTGTAACCAGTAGCTCTCCCTTTCTTACCTGCTGTGCCTTCTGATCCACCCTTGCAACAGACACCACCTAGTGTTGTCTAGGGTTCAGATCTCTTAGTGCTATGGATGCGGAAAATGAATCAGAAGAGCTAAATAAAGAAACCATGGGGTAGAAGAAACTAGTGAAGCAGGAAGAGAACAGGTGGGACTTGCCGTCTTGTTGAAAAGAAAAAGTTATGTCTTTGCAGCAAGATGGGATGAACTACTAAACAATAAGAGAAATATATTATTTCTTATTGCTGGATGAAACATCCATATTCAGTGGCAGTATACCGCAGTATCAAATGCTGGGGATTTATAGGCAGCAAGTAGGGGATTGATGCCTTTGCTTATAAACTTTCTGTAGGCCTCTGGCTGCCACTCTTAGCAACACAATGCTCTGAGTGTGAAGTGGTTATGGCAACCTTCCCTGACTGGGCACCTTCCAGATGTTCTGGGTTTCAATTCCAACCAACCTAGCCACCAACAGAGAGCACTTGATTGGGGAAAACGTGGTTAGGGGAATAATGCTCTCATGGGGCAGGAAAAATCTGTGATCCATCCTTTAGGGAAGGAAATGTTGTCCAGTAAAAGTTGTCTGTGCTAGCTGTTTCCTCTTTTTAGCTCCCTGCCTGCCCCAGGCAAGACAGATCAGGAACAGCCAGACCAGTTGACTTCCCCTCACCATCCCAGCTCTTTTCAACTCTGTCTCCTATCATCTGAACAAAGGAACAAAGACTTTTTATCTCACTACAAAAGTAATCAGATCACCTATGAAACCATAATCACTGTTGATTTAGCAAGCACTGTTTAGGCATTTTCAAAATCTATAAGTTTTACATTTCCATTCCCCCTGGGCCTGTTGACTACTTTCCCCCTCCAGCAAGAGTTCACCTAGAGGTTAAATTTTGTCCCCTTATACTTGGATTGGACAAAGACTTTTCACCACCATTCATGTGTGAATCTGTTTATTTATGCTGATATGTCCTTGACATCTCCCAAAAAGTGTTAAATGACCGGCTGTTAAGATAAATCTTTGTCCTTTTTACATTTCTATCCCCACTTCTACCCAAGCTGGAGCATCTTTCAGCTCAGGTAACACTCTATAATTCCCCCACTAACAACCCCCATCCATCCTTGGCTACAAACAAGAGTAAATAGCAGTACAGCAGGGGAGCAAAGAGAACTTCAGAGCAATTTTTGGTAGATGGGATGCAAAGTTTAAGCCCTCTAATTCTAGATCAGGTCTTCCACTTTTCAAGCTAAACTAGAATCCTTATCATGGGATTCAAATAGAGACGGAAAAATCTGTCTTTTGAAGACAATTTTCCCTACAGCTCCCAGGATTCTTCAGCCAGCATAGTCACTGGTTGATTAAGGAGACATTTGACATCATTTGATTTTAACTTCCCTGCACTATCTCACCTTTAATATTTCTAGACAAGCATCACGGGGAATAATGTCCTCACAATTTTGTTGCCTGAGAGCAGATATTAGGAAGGTTTATTCATGAGCAGATTTGCTTACAAAGTCTTCAGGTCAGAATACAGAACAAATGCTAGAGTCTGATAAGCAGTATCTCTCTCCTGGCAGGGTTAGGGTTAACCCTAACCCCCAAACCCATGCTTTCTCTTTTCCCCTTGTATGTATCACCCACACATACTGACATAAATAAGAGCACATGCATAAGATGCCTAAACCTGGCTGTAAGAGACAAGCAGGTACATCAGCCTCTTGCATTCACACTGACCTTCTCAGCTGGATGAGCATCTTCCTGTTCAATAGAGGTCACTGTCTTCTCTGAAAACATCATATCACCAGTATGATTATCAGTTACCTGAAAATATCAAGAGAACAGCGAGGTGGTTGAGCGATGGAACAAGAGATTGTGTATTTTGATTTTTACGCCTAGTTAAGTATTTTGGAGGGGGCAGCACTGTGGTTGGTAAAAGAAATTCTTCCTCATAGCCCAGACCTCATTAGGAATTGTTGACTTTGCTTCTCAGAGAGATTTTCCAAGTTGTGTAGGAAATACTCATACCACTACTTCAATTTTGTAGAATATGGTGGTGCCTAGGATACTTTCCAAACAACCCAACAGACCAATATAGAAAGTAGGTTTAAACTTGAAACATGCATATTCATATTTTTGAGTTACACCTCCCAGCATTCCCAAGACGGGGGGTGGGGGATAGGTAGTGTCTAGCACAAGCTACTAGTGGCCCAGTAGTTGCCCTAGACGATAATATGTGGCCAGGGTTACACGTGCAGCCAGATGCAGAAGCAAACTTCCTGAGAGGACAGAATGGCCTACACTATTTCAGACTGCAGAGAATGAGCAATCATATGGTTGACTGTTCCAGAAGAACACACGCTGATAGGAACACCTATCCTCTTGGTTGTTATGATCGCCGTGGTCTTTGTATTGTGTCTGAAGAAGGAACAGTCTTGTTTGCATTGTACACTTTACACAAAAGCAAGAATACAGCACAATATGGATTTGTGTCTGGATAAAAAGCCCCCTTAAGAGCGTGACTATCCCCTTCTTCAGACCTGCCACTGAAACCATGAATGAGGAACAGCCAGCTTGACAACAGAGATTGTGGGCCTTGATGCTCTCTCCTAAGCATGTTCTCCTTGACAGCTTGTATAATGTCTAAATAGGGCTTCTCTACAACTAGAAAGCCAGCACAGAAGTGGAGTGACTCAAGTTTCCCAGTCACATCCACACTCCCGTGGCACACACCACCCTGAAAAGTGGAAGGGTTAGGCAACAGCTGCAGTGCCTGCATCTCCTCCAAATCCTTTTTTAAAAAAATAACACTTGATATAACATTAGGAATGTGGATTCTCTTCAATTGCAGCATTTGGGGGGGGGTGATCATAAAAGTATTAGTTGTGCAGTTTGCAACTTAGGTCACACCATGTGAAGGGGAGTAAGTCCTGGGAAATAAATGCACTCTTGGATGGTAGGAAATAGAAAGACGGCTGAAGAGGAGGAAAAAATAGATAGCCTTGTAGCTCTATCAGTTCAGATTTATTAATGATCCTAAAAAAGTAATACTTCTAACCTTAGGTTTCGATCATATAAACTTAGGATGGACAAATTCCAGAGTTTCAGAGCCTACACCTCCCCACAACTGAAGCATTTCACCTGCTCCCCAGCATCCCCTAATTTTTTTCTTATAAAAAGGCTATTTTTAGTATGCCTTCTAGTGCTCCCCGAAAGCTTTTGTTTCAAACTTTCCAAAAGGTTAGAGAATGGGAAGCCCAAAACATGCCCAAATCGCCTCCCATTCCCCGGAAAGGGCAGAAGGGAATTTTTTCAACAATTCTGCACCTTTTTCTTTCACATTTTACGTTCTGAGGGAAGTGAGGAGAGCAGGACCTGGGAGAGGGGCTGCATTTGGGACTTGGGGGCTAAGAGCAGCAAACACTTTGCCCAACATAAATATCCAAGATGTCTTAAGAATTATATCACAAATAACAAAATAATATTTTTCCAAATTAAAAAAAGCTGCCCCAAAAGGTCAATACATGAAAATACCAACCCTTCAGTCTCCAGCTAACCCCCTAAATGAGAGGCCCGCAACCCCCAGTCCACAGCCCGGTGCCGGTCCATGGCTTGAGCTGGACCGGGCCGCTGAGACAGACCTCCCCCCCCCGCATGCACTCAGCCCCACACAGCCGATTTGCGGCTACGCACACGCTCCAGCATGCTCGTGCGAGCAGCACGCTACTGTCTGCACATGCACGTGAGCGCAGGGGGTGCCCTGCCTTCCCCAGCTGGTCCGCAGACCGGAAAACGTTGGGGACAACTGCCCTAAATCACTCCAAGCCAGCTCTCCCCCTATTATTTTACACACCCACTCACTTTATGGATTTCACGATGGCTGTACACAGTGGCATTCCCAACTTTCCGGTGCTGCTTCTCCTCATTGTGGTAGTTTGCAGGCAGCTTGCTGATATCCACGGAGGTTTCGAATCTGTCTGTCCCTAGTGTTTCCTATAACAGACAAAGATGGATCCCATTTTACTTGTTTTTTTTTTTCAATATTTGTATACTTGCTGTTTTTAGGTTGTAAATATTATCCCTTTAATGATGTAAATTGACTTGGGTCCTTTTCAGAAGCGGAGTAAAAATATTTTTAATAAATAAATAGGGTGCAAAATAGAAAACAGATAGAGATCATTCCTTTCCCCTCCTTCTGGCCCAATCCCATAACCTCAGAACTCAGGGGCATCCAGTTAAAATGTGCCTGGCAGCCTCAGGGCAAAGAAACACACCTTCACACAAAGGCTAGTCACATTATGTTTATCCTTTGTACTTGCTAAATCATGTGGGGAAGGTTTTCACATGTATGTGAAGAAAATTTATTATTTCTTTTTATTAATTACATTTTTATCCTACTTTTTGTCCCATGAGTTTAAGGTGGCATACAGAGCCATCACATATTCCATTCCAACAATTTATACTGCAGCATCATTTCTAGACAGCACTAGAAATAAATGGTGCATTTTAATACAAATAAACTCATTTGAGGAGTGGCCACCAAAATTTCATCAGAAGACAGTCCTACAACTTAATTTTGGAAAGGGCTGGTAGGGACTGAAAATCTGTCAAACTGATACTGCAAGACCAAGTGCCGCTCCTCAAAATTCCTCATAAGAACAAATTGGCCAGAATGAGGTGTAGTGTGTACATTTTACAGCTCTAGTTTAATTCCATGCACATTGTAGAGAGTGAAGCTGTGCCTCTGAAAATCTAGAAGTTTGCACTGCAAATCAAAACAAGAAATTCATTTGTCATTAAGAAATTAACATTTTATATTGAGAAATGTTGGAAATTGGTGCTATTTTCATTGCCTAACAATCAGTGCTCAAATGATGGGTGGGTGTATTTGTTACAAGCAGGAGGAAATAGAGATAATATATAGACGTCAAAAAAGAGAGTAGAAATCAATGATGGGTAGATTCACCAAATCTAGAATCACTTTTTTACCTTTTCCTTGTCTCCCTCCACCCCCCAAAATGCTGTCTTGGGAATTCTGGGAGTTGTAATTCAAAAATACGAATATGCAAACCTTGATTATAAAGATGTATTGCCCCTGGTAAACCCCCTTCTATGGATGATAAGGATGCTGCCTTCTCATAGAACGCTACAGCATCTTAGGACATATTTGCAGTCTGCACACTATCCAAAGCATCTCTTCTATAGGGGGGGGGGGAGGAATGTGCACAATTGGTAACATCTCTGTCGTATTACTTACACGGCTTTCCTCAATGATATTTCTAAAGTCCTGGAAGAGTCTCTCCACACTGAGAGGGAGGAAGGCAGCAGATGCAGTGCCCCCCTGCTTGTAATTTTGGAAAAGGCTGGTAGGGACTGAAAATCTGTCAAACCCCTGGTAAACCCCCTTCTATGGATGATAAGGATGCTGCCTTCTCATAGAACGCTACAGCATCTTAGGACATATTTGCAGTCTGCACACTATCCAAAGCATCTCTTCTATAGGGGGGGGGGGAGGAATGTGCACAATTGGTAACATCTCTGTCGTATTACTTACACGGCTTTCCTCAATGATATTTCTAAAGTCCTGGAAGAGCCTCTCCACACTGAGAGGGAGGAAGGCAGCAGATGCAGTGCCCCCCTGCTTCAGAGCTGTCAGGCACCATAACCCCCACCAGATCAGTGTTGGCAACAGCATCTTTGCTGCTCCCTTGTTCTGGGGCTGCCAGAGCCAGACCTGCAGAAAAGACAGCGTGCAAAAGGAAACACCATCAGATAAAGAGAGAAAGAGAAAGGCCTTTAAGCACTGCCTCTAGCGACTATGTGCTCTTTTCCAGCTCAGACATCCCCAAACACTTTCCCCAATCCATGGTACACTTGTGCAGGGAAATCATTTTAGACTCTGGATTTAATGTTTTTTCAGCAATGGGTTGGGCTTCAGTTGCAAAGCATATTTAATCACTTTGCTCCACCCCCATTCCCTTCTTTTACATCTGCTTCTGAAGTCCTAGTATTTTAGAGCAAACAATAACAAACAGGTCTGTGCAACCTCGCTGAAAATCAAATAAAATCTGAGGTTGTGCATTTTGTATTGATTTGTAAACTCATTTAAATCATAGCTCCACCCTAAAATTCAGATACACTACTTTTTCTGGACTACAGCTCCCATAACACCTCTGCAGGGGAATTCTAGCCCCCAAAACGATATTTCCCAGTTCTGATCATGACTACAGGAATAAAATGCAGTTTACTTCTGCTAGGCTCCGCTGAACACATTTAATAAATATACAGAATGCTGTCCGAATTGTATTCTTTTCAGTGGCAGTTCAAAACTTCCCATTTGAACAGACATTTTGAGGAGGATTTTGACATTTCAAAACTGAATTATATTGTCCATCGACATAGATTCTAAACTAGATGGTTTTTATTTGCCAGTTTTATAGCTGTTACATCTCTATTTAGTTTTTGTAGTTAACATTGTTATGATACCAAAATATTTACTAGCGAACATACTTGGCAATAACACCGTACTAGAAAAGGCAGGGTATCAACATTTAAAAGTAACAAAAGATGAAAAGGGCATATGTTGGTTATCCACTGAGCTTAAAATGTTTTCCCAAAACAAACAATCAAAAAGGGCCAGCATTGTTTATGCCCTCCAGTTTTAAGACCATCACTGCTGGTTAAGAAACCAGAATAGGCAGTCAGTACCACACACCTGTAGCACGACTGGGAACACATCAGCAATTACCAGCAACTTCTTAATTAGAATCCATTTGCCACTGAAATTTATGCGAACAGTCTTAATTGTGACATACTCTTTCAACTTGGATTCAGTCGAAAAGAAGGAAATCTACCATGGCAAATTGTGTGAGCTCCAGTGTTCCTTGCCAGTCTCACAGCAAACTAGGTTTATTTACCACTGCATCATCATCTGCAGGGTCCTATGTAGTCATGGGGGAGTGGGTTGGCTGCAGGGCCCTGGATCCAACCCCATTCTCAGTCCACATCTTAATCCTGCCCTACAGCAAACTGATACAGGCCTTTGCACCCAAGCCAAGACAATGTCGAATTAGAACCCTTGCTACAAAATAATCCTGTTCACAGTGCTCTGTGATCTGTCACCGCCTCTTCTCCATAAGCAGCTTCAACTTGCTCTTTCTTACTTCCCCTTTCAATCCACTAACCTGCCTCAACAGCCTGTAACCTCACACAAGAATCCCAGTCTGTCCGTTTCTGCCCAGGTATTGATTCGAAAAGGTGTTCTGATTCCAGAATCTGCTGCCATCACTTGGTGTCCATCTCTACACAGATCTCCACAACTTAGACTGGCAGCAGAGTTTTTATTTTTAACCACGGTCTACAACTGCCCAGCTGGCCCAGCTGTGTTGAGCTGGCTAGTGGAATTTTTAAAATAAAAATTTCCAGGTTTTCATTTACACCTATAAATCTATAAAGAGTCAGTCTCCTTAAAGGGAAGGGAAGGAGCCATTTTGGCATCTTTAAATCTAACAGGTTCATTTCGGTGTGAGCTTTTGTAGATTGCATGTATCCAGGGAAGTGGATTCTACTATAAAACCTCACACTGGAATACATCTGTAACTCTGAATAGTGACACAACACTCTTTGAACTCTCATAGGGATGTCCTAGATTGGTTGACTCATATCTGTATGATTATGTGTATTTATCCAACTTCCCACTTTCTACAGAGTTTTAATATGTAGTTTCTATGTATAACCTATTGGGAAGCTAATCCAAGCCAATTCCTTGAAGCTAATTTTGAAGTAAACCAAAAATTAAGCATTCATAGAAGATGTGTTCTCACTACATTTAAGATTTTGCCTTTTTATTGTATTTTAAATGTTGTAAACCGCCCAGAGACCTTCAGGTGGTGTGGGCGGCATACAAGTTAAATAAATAAACATGTAAATTCCCACACAACACTGCAGTGCCATGTGCATAGTACAACACCCTACTTATTAGGATCACCTGACAATGACAGTACAGCAAGCTGGCAAAGGGCAGGGTCGGGGTTAAACTTTTAGAGTTTGGCTGAAGAGACCTGAGAGACCATCAGGAATAAGTCTTTTGTAAGGGTAATGGGTCTTTATTACCCATTCTAGAGCAGTACTCACAAAAATTACTTTGCATCGCAGCAGGGATCACTTGGAATAATAGAGTAATACTGTATTGGTAAATACCTATCCACCCACTTCCGCCTACCTGCTGTGAGGATGGTAGCTAAGCTCCAAGGGAACAGGGAAGCCTAACGGGCATGATATAATATTTCCTGTTAAGCAAGAAGTCCTTTGGCACAGTGCAAGCTTATCCCTGCTCAAGGGCCTCTTGAATCCTGCCAGCTATTAAAAACTATTAATCAAAATAACTGAAATAAGAAACAGGATTGGATTTTTAAAGCCTCTTTGAATGAAACCATTTTCAGTCTCCATGTAAAAGAAACCAGAGAGCTCCTCAGGGTCTCGGTGCCACTACCAAGAAGGCTGTGTTTCCCTCGGTTACTTGACTGACCCCCTTGTGATCAGGTAACACAGAACAGCCCTTTGAGGCAGATCGTAACACAGGGATGAAAGGAGAACGAACTGCTCACCAGAAAGGTTGATGGACTGCAACTTCCAGTAATGGTGAGGAGAGCTGGAAGTTGCATTACCAGAACATCTGGAAGGCCACACTTTACCTACCACCACCATAAAGCCTCAGCCTGTTGTTATTAGGACAGATGTATCCCTGACATTTGGGACCAAGATCAGAGCTTTTCCCTGACTGGAAGTCCTCCAGATGTGTGAGGCAATAATTCACAGACCCCAACACACCTGGAGGGCAAATGAGTTGGGAGAACTCTGGCATATATGCTTCACAACAGATGAAATATCACGTGGCGTAGTTGTTTTCAAATTGAATTCTCAGGAATCCTGGATAGAATTACCAGCTGACAACTAGAAGGGAAGAAGCATTTAGGTCTCCTCCTGAGATCTTTCATCGGCAGAAATCAGCAGGGGGAAATGTCTGAAGCATACAGACAAGTGTATGGAAATTTTAGTTTTTGATGGCCATGCTACCATTGATTCTGGGAATTATAGTATTGAACAACGTAACCTTTTCCAAACTCTGATGAATTTTTTGGGGGGGAAGGGAATCAAGAAAAAAATCCAAAAGCCCTAAATAGAGTAATTTGATTTTTGAATGTTTCTCTTCCATTTAATTAAAAAACATTTTAAATGCATCAAGAAGATAAATATTTAAATTGGAAAAATGCTTAATGTGGTTTAAATATGATACTCAAACAAACACAAAGCTTTGTGTGGAAATTGTTGTTATTCAGATCATTGTATTTACAATTTTACAACAAAGTGTACTTCCCTGACATTGTTTGTTCAAATTTTAGACCAAAAGGTACTGAAAATGGTTCACATAGTCATAATCATTTTACCAGAGTCAATAAACAGTGTATGACATACTGTGGTTGCTCATTCATCTACTTCCAACAGATTTTATCTTTTCCACTAAGATCATTAAGGCATCTCCAATTTTGCTCTTACTATGCAGAACCACTTACAGTGGTGCCCCACTTGACGATGACCCCGCTTGATGACGAAATCGCTTGATGATGAGTTTTTTGCGATCACTATTGCGATCGCAAAACAATGGTTCCTATAGGATTTTTTCGCTTGACGTTGATTAGGTCCCTGCTTCGCGAACTGTTTGTTCGCAAAACAATGTTTTTTCCGGCTCCGCAAAATGGCTTCCCTTTGCAAAATGGCTGGCTTCCCTTCGCAAAATTATTGTTTTCCGGACCCCTGTCCAGAAGACAGCGATTTTAAACAGCTAATCGGTGATTCTCTATGGGTGATCTTCGCTGCACGATGAGGTATTTCCCCATTGGAAAGCATTAACCAGTTTTCAATGCATTCCAATGTGTGTGTTTTTCGCCTGACGACGATTTCGTTTAACAGCGATTTTCTTGGAACAGATTATCGTCGTCAAGCGGGGCACCACTGTATAGTACTTAAGTTAAACAGAAGATTGTGGCCAAAATTATTCAAAATCATAACTATTTGATTTACTTTCTCCTCCAGCAACACCTTTCAAACAAATCTATTTTTTCCTGTCAGCTTTCATTACTGTCTGGCTTTCACACCCGTACATAGTGATTGCAAATACAAGAGCATGGATGAGCTGTGGCTTCATTAGAAGTTAAATACCCATGGCTTCATTAGAACTTGTTAAAATATCTAGAGATCAAGCTGAGCTGTTGTTAAAAGCACAGGAGTAGGGGCCAACAACCAAGTTGGCAACCCTTAACCTGAAAGGCAGCTAATCCACCATTAGCAATCTTTTGTAGCAACTAAACACAGCAGACAGTTGAACAGATTATAGAAAGCACTCTTTGTTGAAACAGGGCAACAGCTGCGCCCAAAAGGATCAGGCAGTGACCTGCGCAACTGGTAAGTGTGCCTAATACTTTGCTACAGAAAGACACAGCATGACAGCTGGAATGCAGGAGCTACTATCAGAAAAAGGAGCAGGAAAACAGTTTCCTCCAGTGAGAAAGTCTAAAATTTGTTGCAAGCATTCCTCTGATATACAGTAATTTTACTGATTTTGCTCCTCTTATTTCTTGATTATTACTTCCCTTACTGTTTATGAGTGCATTTTATTGTTATCAGCTGCCCAGAATAATGTCATGCACTAATTGGGCAGTATAAATGTGGAATGAATGAATAAGCAAACAAAAATTAAGATGTTTCTATGATCTCTCTCACTTTTAGCAAGCAAAAAGGGTGTAATTCTGCCATGTCCCCATTAGGTGGTGACCTCAGAGTTTAGAGAAACTGATCTCCACAGAGTGAACATTTCCTTATGTCCAAAATGCCAGG